TATTATTATTATTTAATTGTATGTAATTGTTCCAGTCAACTGCATCACTTTCACACTTTTTCATTAATCTATTTGTTATACCATTTCATACACGTCAACTTATCTGCACAAGAATACATAAATCTGATAACAGTGATGCATGATATTCTGGAACCACTGAAAAACCAATTTGCAATGCAGAGGCCCTTCTTCTTCTTACAATTTTTAACATTGCACCTTTAAATGGTTTTGGTGTTAACATAACATAAAATTTCAGATTGTGGCCATTTTTGCATATTTGTTTGACAGATAAAAGACTTCTTTCTTGAAAAAATATTTGGTAAATTAAAGATTGTTGACATGATATTCATACATTAAAAAAAAAATGAATATATTTTTAAATAAAAAATGCAAATATGAAAACTTCATCAAAAATGAATAATATAAGAATAGGTGGTGAGAGTAGAAATGCAACATGGTGCTAATATATGATTATGTAGTGAAGTATAAGAACATGCAGCCAGTGCTGATATATGATCATTTACCAAGGTATAAGAACACAGCCGGATTTTGGTGAGATATATTAGTTGATTGGTGGTTCAATCTCTGGGGCCACTGTAACAAAGAATTACCCTGAATTGTAAGTAATTAGCTGCATACATTGTGAACTAGCCATTATTTTATGGTTAAAAAAAACAGTTTTAACTACTTGAATACATCATAAAAATTATTAAATCAACAGTAAGATAAATTGCAAAAAGTTAAGCACTGAAATATAAAAATTTGTCGAGTCATGCAAATAGCGTGAAACAAACGGATGCTTTTGAACCAGTTGGAATAGAACAAAATAGACTTTACAAATTGTCATTTAGTGGGTATCTACTGCCATCTATATGACTAATTTGATATTAAAAATAGAGAAGGTATGGACAAAACAGTAAAAGTAACAGTGAAATGAAATTATCCATACAATGTATAGGCAAATCAATAAAACTCCAAAAGCAGCACCCATACGATGCATGGGCAAAACAGGCAAATGATTAACTTTGAAAATGATAAATGAAGGCTTCAATCTCTAGTTAAAATCATTTTTAGAAAAGGATCAAGAATTTGAAAGAATTATGGATTTTCTATAGGTAGCTTGGAAATTAGATGTAAGAAAAACACGTTGGATCATTATTCTCTGCTACATAATTCAGTGGCTACTCATTTTCAGTACTTTCACTGGCTGTGCATTATTTCTCCTTTAACCATTTTTTAGAGTATTTCTATTTCACATAATTTGCTTGTGTGATGCAACATCATCATTTTTATGATCTTCAGTGATTTGTAAATTCTGGACCAATCAAATGCATTTTTCCTTGTATTATATTTTTAATACTCAGCAGTATAGTATTTGCTATTATATGGAATAATTTTCATCTGAAATATTTTTGCTGGAAAAAAATGTTGAATCCCGTTTGTTTGAATTTAATTGATATCAGTATTTAAAAAATAAATATGAAAAAAATGGAATGATTGTTCATATTAGAAATGTGAGACTTCATGCTAAATGACATAAATCTGGAATTTTAATATTTATTTTCATCTGTTGTAATGAATCAATATAAATGTAAAAATATCAGATTGTTGCTTGCATGTAATATATATATGTGTGTTTTGTTGCAAAAAAAAAAAAATATATGCTCCCAGAAAAAATTGAGCCACAATTACAAAATGCGGCATGCAAATGTACTTTAGCGAGTTGTGTAAATGATTAAACTTGCTGTACCAATCAACATTGCATAGTGATACAATGGCGGTCTGAAGTGTGTAGCGCTGGTAAAATGTAAAAGGGGACTAAAATAGGCAAATTGGCCAGCATATTAGTCAAAGTGATGCATTATTAGTATATCATCAATTCAATGCCATCTGCCAATTAGCAGGGATCCATGAATATCCAGAGGTATGATTTGCCGAAAACTAGTTGGTGCTGGTCACGGATCTCAACATCCATTAAAGCGCTTGCAATTGACACCCCACCATGAGCAGAGTTATCTTGCATTGTGCTGCTCTCACTCAAGCTTCACAGGTCTAATTGGAGAAGTATGGTCTTCAGCAATGAAGCATGCTTTTATCTTAATGCTGATAACCACCATACACGTGTCTGGAGACAGAAAGGTGAGCAGTCCAATGTACCATATGTTACCGAGTGGCATACACACAGTCAGAACATAGGGTGGGATAGTCTGGGTAGTGATCAGTTGGGATAGTTGTTGTTCACCACTAGTTGTGTTGTGATGTATTCTGACTGCTCGCAGGTGCATTGATGACAATTTGCAACTGATCATACTGCTTATGCATACTTGCTTCGACAGTACATATGCTAAAATTGAAACAATACAAAGAAGATTAGCATGGCCCCTGTGCATGCTTATGTTAACAGGTCATCCAGGTTCTGTTTTCCAATTGGACAATGCTCAACTACATACAGTATGACTTTCTCAATAAGGTCTTCAACATGTTAATGTCCTCGACTGGCCTGGCAAGTCTCCAAACCTGTCGCTTATCGAACATGTTTGGGACATGTTGGGCAGGCATATTCAGCCGTATACAAATATGTCCCAACTCGCTGACCAGTTGCGTCATTTATGGCACAATCTACCGCTGGGACATTGGCAATTTAATAGGCTCCATGCCCAAATGAGTATACCCATCATTGTATAGATGCCAGGGGTGGCTTTACCACCTACTTATTTTCATATTTTATGTAGTGCTACTCATAAATAATTTTTTTTTTTTTTTTAATATCATTTGTTTGGCTGCTTGACAACTATACTACTGCTGGGTTTCATTGTTGTGGCCCAGTTCTTGGTACTTCCTTATTGTAGCGGCCTCCAAGATTGAATCGCTAATCAACCCAGATATTTTTCCGAAATCTTGTCACACAACCTTATAGTTTGCTACATATTACATCTCGCTTAATTAGCGATTAAATTTTGAGGGCCATCATAACCCAATTTTTTCTGGGTACATATATTTATTTTACAACAGAGTGTGTATGTGTATATATATATAAAAGGTTTCATAGATCATGGGACAAACTTGAAGGGGTGGTGGAGCGTACTAAAACATGCATTTTTTTTAATAGGAATGTAAAGTGATGGGTTAAGGCGGGAATGCAAAAAAACGACATGAGAGGAAAATGTGTTTATGTACAAAATCAACACAAAGTGCTTCTTTGCAGCAATATAGTATTCACAATACATGTTCACAAAAGGGAACACTAACAGTAATAGGAACTACAGCTGTGATTGGCTGGCAATGCAGTGGTAGAGGACGATAGTGAGGCGGACAAACCACGATCCGATACAACAGAGGATCATTCGCAACTCTGATGTCGAGCGTGATGGGTGAGTTTACGCACAGGGAAAAAGCTGACGTGCATCTCACGTATGGTGCTGTTAATGGGAACGGCAGAGCAGTGCTACGGTTGTACCAGGTTTCTGAACAGGCGTACGCCGAAGTTTACAATGTTCAAGAGGTTGCCTCTGTCTCTGTGTGAAAACAGCTTATTTGAAGCCACTTCTGACACTAGGAGTGGAAGAAGAAGTGCACAACAGCCTCACATTGAAGAATCCATCTTGAACATTGTACATGAATCACCTCAGACAACCATAAGAGCACGTCGTCTGCAGCTAAGTCATTCCACCGTTTGGAGAGTTGCAGGAAAATGGTTTGCATCCATACCATTTGCAGAGAGTCGAAGCCTTGCAAGACTCAGATTACCCTCTTTCAGTTCATTTCTGTCATTGGTTCTTGCAGCAGTGTGCGGCGCAAGTGGATTTCTCATCAGATGTGCTATTCATGGAAGAGGCAACTTTCTCACAGAACACATCTTCAATAGCCACAACATGCACGTGTGGCAACTTATAATCCACATCTCACACGTACAGATGCATTCCAAACCCGCTTCTCCGTGAATGTGTGGGCGAGTATTCTTAACGACTACCTCATAGGCCCATACCTCTTACCTGCACGTACAAATGGCTTATGTTATCATATTTTTCTGCAAGAGGTTCTACCGGAGTTGCTGCAGCATATTCCGGATGTCGTTCGTGATCGCATGTGGTTCCAGCATGCTGGTGCACCAGCCTATAACCACATGCGGGTCCACAATTACTTGGATGGGACATTTCCGGGCCGATGGATTGGGTGTGGTGGACCCGTTCGCCAGATTTATCCAGCTTAGATTTTTTTTATGGGGTCATCTGAAGAGCATCATTTACGAGACTCCCGTTGCTGGAAGACATCGTTGCACGACTATTCATCGCAGCTGCAAGCGTGTGCGGAATGCTTGTCGTTTTCAAAATGTTCATCAATCTCTTCTGCAACGTTATCAAGCATGTATTACTGCTGGTGGTCACAATTTTGAACATTTATTGTGAATACTGTATTGCTACAAAGAAGCACTTTGTGTTGATTTTCCTCTCATATCATTTGTTAAACACATTTTCCTCTCGTATCTTTTTTTTTTTTGCATTCCTGCCTTAACCCGTCACTTTAGACCCTACATTCCTATTAAAAATGCATGTTTTATTATGCTCCATCACTCCTCCAAGTTTGTCCGATGATCTATGAAACACCCTGTATATATATACACACACACTTATGCAATGAAGAATTTTTTTAAATAAAATTAATTACATTTGGGGTCATTTTGACTTGCCAAAGAGCTTGTGTAGAATATGCTTTAGAAATTCCGTCTAGTTTTTCTCATTGCCCCTCGATATCCATTTTTAAATGTTCTCTCATAACTTCTGCTTTGCTAAAAGATGCCATTTATTATTATTATTTATTTTAATAAAATTTTTTAAAATAAGTAATTTTGTATGCAAAAATATGACTCATTTTTAAATATTTTCTTTTTTGCTACTTTCCTTCCTCATTATTATGTAAGTTATTATTTTGTTGCTGAATTTTTGTAATTTCTGCTTCTTATCTACCCTGATAAAAAAATTAAAACTGTTTTTCTTTTCCAGAATTTTTAGTCCTAGTCGCCCCTGTATCTGTTGCATTCCAGCCCCATTACCCCAGACTGCTGCGCTTGTTTCTTATCCATGGTACCTATGCGTGTATTGGATGTTGTTTTGCTTCATTTTATGTTTGTTTTTAGATAAACAATATTCAAACGATTTAACTGAAATTTGTTACATTTTGCATTAATTTTTGTGGTATAGGTTTGTTTCTTTTATGACAGACTATTTAGGATTTTGGTGTGCTTGGTTTGAAATTTCTGTTTTGGGTTGTTTGCTTTTTAATTAAATGTTGATTCCATTTTTTAAAAAAACTGCGTTACATAACATTTTTTTCTTCTCTCTGCTTTGTAAATACATATGTGATACAAAATAGCTGTATGTTTTAATCTGCTTCTTAAATGTTAATTTTCTTTTTCTGAATACTTTCATAGTGAGTGGTATTATTGATATTTTTTATCTTCATATGCTTTTCTTGTCCATTTCAAATCTTTCATTTCTCAGCCGTGAATGCATTTATTTGTGTGATGTTTCTGTAGGTAATTATTTATTGCTGTTAGATTAAATTTTATCATGCATTAAAAGCTAACTCTTTTTCCTTTCTTATTCTTCTTTTATGCTTTTAAAAGAATACTACAATGTCTTATTTTGCACTGTCTGCATGGCATTTATTATTTAGTACTGAAAATAGCAAGTTAAACTAATAACACTACTTGTAACATTTATCATGTGTAATTATTAATTGGATGAAGATATGTATTATTATTAGATATAAAGTATATTTATAAAAACTATTTAAAATGTTATGTTTTGAGTTTTTAGATTGTATTCAAAAGTCATCCATTGTGACAAAATTAAACATCTTATTTTCATAAGGGGAAGGTTTTATAATAATCATTGTTCTTATAGTAAAAATATAAATATTGTTCTTATAGTAAAAATATAAATTTATGGGAACCTGGAATATCTTTATTTTGAGACTCTTTACCTGCAGTTGAATTGAAGCTGAATAATTCATTATTATATTTCAGTAAATACTTCTAGCATTTAAACCTTAAATGCCTTTTTAAAACTGTTTTCACATCAAAGTTTATTTAAAATACTGCTTTAGTTAATGCATGTTATGCTTTATAAAAGCTGCTACCTCTCTTTTCCCGGAAAGAATCAATCCCCCCCCTCAAAAAGTTTTGAAAAATTTCATTCAGATAAATATAAGCTAATTTAAGAGCAATTCTATTGAAAATTTAAGCAATATTTGCTTTTATTGGTCATTTTCTTTTGCTAGCTCTGCATTTCTGTTTTATTCTTTACTATTAATTATATGCATTTCATTTTTAAAGTGTAGTTTTTCAAGAGGTCTCAGTATATATTTTTATGTATTTATATATATATTTTGTATTGGTAGTGAAGTTCGCAAAATTGTCTTGATGAGTCTTTCGTCTGTTATCTCATTTGCAAATATGAGGCAGACTGGTGAAAAACATACAGTATGCTTTAGTACTGCTATAAACAGGATTAATTTTTTTACCTCAGAATTAAAATTTTAAGTGTCATTAAAATGAGTAAGTGCTTCCATGGCCATTAAATTAGTTCCTTTTATATTTATATGCACGTTCCTCCACTTGAGCAATTTTTAGAATATGTAAGCAATACTAAATAATTTACAGATATAATTTTCAGCAACTTTTTTATGTTGTTTAAGGTTTTAACTTTTCAAATGTTTCATTTCTCAGTGTGCTTTTCAAATAACCAGACAAGTATTTGAAGAATATTGTTTCCTGTGGCCTGTCAGTTATTCACTTTCAACTTATAGAGAAAACTGTCGGATTTCCCATTAACAGTTGTCACGAAACTTTTAGATATGTGAAGTCTGTAAACAAAACAAGTGCAAACTGTGGCATTTCACAGTTGTGGCAACCCTTAGAACTAGATGTATAAAATCACATCACATGTATGCCGGCAATATTTGCAGCTGTAGATTAGCAAATATAGAGTATCTGTCAGATTTGAGGTTTTCTATTTTTAACAACTTTCATGTAATGTGTTTTCTGGAGTTTTATATAAAATATCCTAACAATTTCATGATTTTTTTCAGTATACCACCTGTTTCAAGAAATTTCTCAATTTTCTGCATTTTTTTTTTTTTTTTTTTTTTTTTTGGTGTTTTGGTGTTTCCTCACATTTTCAAAAATTCCAGTTGAAGATTTTTATTGCTGCAATAGGGTAAACAACTCATGTACAAATCACTTGTGAATATAGGTTGGAACTGTGTTATCTGTTGGCATAGTTCCACATCACCTCTATGATTAGTGTTTGTTTTGAAATATGAGGATTAAAAGACATTTCGCTAATCATACTGCATACTTATTTCTCTGAAACATTATTTGATGGGAGTTGAACATGTTCATACTTTATCACAGTACTCATGCAATTATCATTGCCATTTATCACATGCATGCCGTCTACCAGAAGTGTATCTCATTACACAGTGATGTTGTAATTTGCAGGTACATCATAATTACTAATTAATTTCTGAAAATAAATATGGCTGTGTGCCCTACTTCATATGCTTTGTTTTGGAGATTGTGGGTGATTGCAAAGGGACATAACTGTGTACCTGTTTTATTCATATTCTTCATCTCCTCTGAAAGTTTTGTAGTGATTCTGTAAACATTCCTCTCCTCAGTCCTGTCCTCATTAGTGCTGTTTTCAGTGTTAGTTTTCAGAATTAAAAATTTGAGTTTTTGCCATGTCAAATGTTTTAAGTTTCATTTATTGTTATATAATTCACTATTATTTTATAAATTTTGATTTGAAATTTATTGTGTCTACTTCATAAAAGTAAATTTCCAGTTTCTGTCTTTTTTCATAAGAATATAGTATGTTTGTTCACTTTTTTTGGTTTTAATTTTTACCCATCTTTACAGCTGATAAATATTTCATGAAAAATTAACATTTCCTTAATTTCTCTTTGATATTTTTAACCAAATTTTTCAAAATCAGTTTTGAAACAAATGTGATTAGGCACTTAATATGAAAATGTTATTGATTATTAAGGCATTATTATTGGTTATTTATTTAACCAATAATAATTTAAACCAACAATAATTAAGGCATTATTATTGGTTTAAATTATATACTAGTTTTTGAGATAAATCCTGTGATTTTTATTTTATCCATTTTTTTCCATCCTTTAGTTACCATGTAGAATTATTTATTTTACATAGTTACTAATATAGCTTTGGAACAATATTTTGTTTAATTTTTGTTCAGCTATTATTTAAAAATATGGCGTAGTACTTCTGTATATACAAAAGTAAAATTTTGTATTGTATTTTACTTAATTTACTAAAGGTATGGAATCCATGTCATTGAAATACATTATAATAAAAAAGAAATATTATCTTTAATACAGTCCGAAGTTTTAAACGGATTAATACAAATTTTTATTATCAATATTAATTATTGTTTTATAGTTGCAAACATAAAAATTGTATTGAGCAATATATTTTTATGCATGTTTAGGACAGTGAAAAAAATACAGATGACGATGACTTGTCTGAAGGCAAACAAGTTATTGTTGGTATTTGTGCCATGTCTAAAAAATCACAGTCTAAGCCCATGAAGGAAATACTAACTCGCCTTGAGGAATTTGAATACTTGAAAACTATCGTATTTCCTGAAGATGTCATACTGAATGTAAGTTATTTGCAAATAATTATTCGTTTGTATTTGTGTTAGCATAACCTTTTTCTTAGTCATCAGATTTTCAGAAGGTGCCAAATTCTGGTATTCATGCTCATAAAAATTCTCCAGTGGTTTCTTATAGACAATTCAAGATAATTTTTATCTCAATCTCTTTTGGGAAAATAAGTGCTTAAGTGATTTATCTGTAGTGAAAAAAATTACAGTAAAATTTCTGGGGGGGAAACCAATTATTTGGCCACAAAATTGGTTAAGAGAACAATTGCTTTGAATCTGTTTTTGAAGCAGTCACTTCAAATTTTCCACCAGAACAGAAACACCAAAAATCCACTTATTAATTGGGTTATTGTTTGATCTTCAGTATAAATACCTAATTTAAACATAATATATATATATGTAATAATATGTGTAAACATAAAATATGTATACACGAGAGAAATGATTGTTTGCAATTTTAAATCATCATTCTTTTTCTTCTATAAAAATATTGGCAAACTGCACAAAGATGGTCGCACTGACACATAAATATCATATATTCATATTCAAAGTAATAAATTTATTTCTCATGCAGAAATGTTCATTTAACAGCATATTCAATGAATTTTTAATTTTTCAATAATTTTTAATCATTTTTATTAATTGTTGTAAGATGTATAACTGAGTTTAATTCAATTGATCATAAGTCTTTAATTTCTTGTTATTGTTTAGGAACCTGTAGAAAAATGGCCTTTATGTGATTGCCTTATTTCATTCCATTCTAAAGGTTTTCCTTTGGCAAAAGCTGTGGAGTATGCAAATTTGAGAAAGCCATTTATTATTAATGATTTGTTCATGCAATATGATATCCAAGACAGGTACTAATATCTAATTTTGACTGAATGTACTGTGTTATTATGACCTTGTTAATTATATTGATATATAATTTTTAAAGTTTAATTAGTTTTAGTTAAATGTTAGAAAATTTTTTGTTTGGTTTTCAGCAGCACATTTACTACCAGCATTCAGTGGAAGAATTCAAATTTATATATTTAATTTTGATTCTAGATTTCAGAGCAAAATCAAGCACGTATTTATTTCTTTATAAATAATCATTAAGATAAACAAACGTTAATATAGATTATAATGATTATAATCTATATGTATAAATAATTTCTTTAGTGTAGTAAACCGTGTTTCGTTGGTAAGTATTGTTATTTTTATTCCATTTAAAATTCAAATTATAAAAGTCTTCTGCCATCAGTATTTCCGATGCTAGTATGGAAACAGCTGTACAGTCAAAAGTCGTTGATTCGGACACTCATAATCCGGACCTGAAAGCTACAAACTTTCTGCGCGTGCGTCACGTTGACGCATGTGCGTAAGTCCTTTACGTCTGCAAATATGCATGTGCGCGCACACAAAATACGTTTACGAAGCGCGTTTAATGTATAACGGACAGTATAAGCTAAGCTAAAATTATCTAATTCAGTTAATGTTGCAGATTGCATTGTTCCTTAATCTTCGAATTGGATTCGGCTTATTATTTTTTGCAGACTGTTAGAGCAATTTTATAAAAGTAAGCTTGAACTTTCGATTATCTCAAATAGAATTTCTGATATATAGTTATTAATATGTAAAGGATCTACAAAGTGAAAGTATGTTTCGAAGTCCATTAAACAAAAAGTGGAATTGCTGCAAAAAATGGATAAAGGCATATCCTTTGTTTATCTAAACTTTAACGTTTGTTTATCTTTAACGCCGTGAGGCGAAATGAATTGGAAGTTGTTCTGTCAGCACTATCCTTATCGGGCAGATGTTTTTATTTTATTTGGCTTATAATTCCTTACTAAATGTAGTATTTCATCTCGATGTACTCCGTCTTTAATATGATTTAAATCAAATTCCTCGTCATTATAATTTGCTTCCGATAGCGAAGAAAGTGACAGAGGTTATTGAAAACGAAACATTTCGATTGACAAATTAGTCGGTATTCTCGACACAGCAATTATAGGACTTGAACAGCGGAACTTTGTAACTGAACAAGAAATTATGTCTGTTTATAGAATTAAAGAGAAAGTATTATCACATAAAAACGAAGCAACTTAAACAACTTACATTGAAAGAAATGTTTGATAAAGTAAACAAATAAATATTAAGCTTTTTTTTTTTTTTTTTTTTTCTTTTTTTTGTAAATTTTGATACCCTTTAGATCATAATTGTTCTTTATTTCATAAATTACGGTTTCATATTTTTAATTTATAATTTCTGCATGCCATCTTACCAGATTTAAACTGATGATCTATAATCCGGAATCGCCGAAGTGCCGACGAGTCCGGATTAACGACTTTTGACTGTATATATCACCAATAGTAACTAATACATATATATCCGGGTTTTGCATAAAAATGTAAGTATTTTAGTAATTTTTTTTCATCATATATATTGTGTAATTTTATTTTGCATATACATGACAATTTTTAGTATTGCAAATAATATTTTAGTAGTATTTTGAGGTGCTTAATGTATGTTACATTCATCCTCATCTTATTCTGAATAAAAAATTGCATGCCCTTTAATGGTGCTGAAATGAATTTTCATTGTAAGTAGATAATGCCAGTTGCTATATGTGCTTAGCAAACACAAGATAAAAATGATTTTTCTACTGTGTTTGAAAATAATTAATGTGCTTCTTTCTTGTATTGCTCAGAACTCTTTAATGCCGAAAATATGAAGAAGCTACTTCGGTTATAAATGGGCACTCTAAATTCTTTTTTTAAGCTGATATTGTTATTAGATATATTTTAAGGATGTAAGTCATATGTATGAAAATAGTTTTCCAAATTTTGGACCAACATACCCCAAGCAAATCTCTCTATATATTAGCAAATCTGTCTTGTTAATTTTGTATTGATGTTGTGATTAGATCCTGTCTAACTATTTAAATTTATGTAATTCAGAAGGTAACTGAAGAAGTACTTTAATTTTTTATTTATTTTGTGTGTGGTGTGAATAATGTACAGGGTTAGCAAAAAATCATTTCCTAATTCCAAAAGTTTATTGCACAGATAATTAATTAACTATTGTAATTAGACATTTTTATATATTTCTTAATGGTTACTGCAGTACAGAATAGTATTGAGTTTATAAATTTCAGTAAGTACCTTTTTTTGTAACTTGGGAAATAGCATGTTTGTGACATTTTCCATGTAACATATACTCTAAGCCAGCACTGTCCAACTTATCATAGCTATATTTTCTTCAAACATTTCAGGGGCCAAGATGGTTGATAAATGAAAAGTCAGTTTATGTTAATTAAAAAATATTTTATTTATACTTAAAAGAAAATTTTAAAATATTCGTAATATGTTAATGATAACTTTGTGACCATAATTGTTTAACAACAATATCTTTTATGTCCACATCAATATTTGTTGTGGCAAGTCTAATTATATCTTCAAGAGTGGAATCTTTCAAACTGTTTCTATATTTCGTATCGAAGTATGCACTTTATATATTTCGTATCGGAGTATGCACGCTTGCAGATATATGTGCTTCTGAACATTGATACAATTTGAAGTCCAAAATCTCTCAATTTTGGATATTTCTCTTTATCTAAAAATTTGAATATTTCTATTCCAGTGACTCCACGAGATGTAAAAAAATGGGTCAGCCTGCAGGTCACATAATCCTATTTGATATTTAAGATCAATGGAGTTGATACCAATATTAATTAAGTCACAAAATAAATCAATAGACAGTTTAAGATGATAAAATTGAGAAAATCTTTCATTGAAATCTGTAATTAGCATATCTAATTTTGATGGAAATATTTTAAAATTCGCTTTTATATTACACTCCTTCATTTCTTCATAGATCTCTTTGCAAAATTCAAAATGAAATAAATTATTTTGCTCCAAATTAAACCTTAACAATTTTAATTTGTTTCTAAATCCAGTAACATATTTATAAAGGCAACACACATTTTGATCTTGTCCTTGCAAGGATTTATTCAAAATATTTAAATAATTTGTAATGTCCGTTAGGAAGCAAGTGAATAAATAAAATTTTTATCAACTAAATTTCCTGTCAAATTTTCATCGACGGCAATTTCTGTGAGAAAAAGATGAACTTTTTTTTTGAAGTGTAAAGAATCTCCTCCACATTCCAGTGCTTAACCAACAAACGTTACTATGTAAAAGCAGATCTCCATATTCAGTTTCCAATTCATCCAAAAATGTTTTAAATGCTGTGTAAGAGAACGATTTCTGCTGTTAATTGCAAAATTAGTAATTTTGCAAACCTTGTCCATTATGTCTTTTAGTTGTAGGGATAAACTACATAATGCCTTCTGATGGATAATACAGTGTAACATACGACATGTTCTTCCTTCCTTTTGCAAAAGTCCCCGTGAGCCCAATATTTTTACCCGTCATAGCTCTGGCACCGTTGGTTACAATAGCAGTGCACTTTGTCAAATCCGCCATGTTGCTCTACTAACCATTTTAATTGTTTGTAAATATCTTCACCTTTTGTTGTTCCGTGTAATGATTGTAATTTTAAAAGTTCTTCTGAATAATTATAGTTTTCATTTATAGTTCTTATAAAGATAAGCATTTCACTTGTATCGGAAATGTCTGCTTTCATCCAATGCTACCGAAAAATAGCAGCAACTATTGATTAGGTTTTCTAATTTATTAGTGACATGCATGCTAAGCTCGTTTACATGTCGGCTTACAGTCTGGTGAGAAAGTGATACTGTTTGAAATTTTCTTACCATTTCATTGTCATTAAATGCTTGAGCCATTTTTATGGCACATTTTTTAATGAATTCTCTTTTCAAAAAGGGCTTCTTTGCCTTTACTATTTCTAAACAAACTTCAAATGATGCAGCTACAGATGCTTCTTGAAATTTTGGTTCTTAATTAAAATAAATTGTTTGATGATCCAGCTGCTTTTTCATTTTTTTCATGTCTCGCATGTACGAATGATACTTTTTCATGCATGGAAAGATAATGGCGCTTCAAGTTATATTCTTTACATACAGCTATGATTTGTAAACATTTCAAACACTGTGGTTTACCATTCTTGTTCAGAATAAATAAATAATCTATCTCCCAGCAATCTTGAAATTCTTGATTTTCGAGGTCTATTTTTCTTTATTAGTAGCACTCACTCATATCAATAATAATTTAATAAAAATAAATATGAAATTAAGTTAATAATATTATAACACAGTCACCCCTCAACAAATTCTAGACAAGACCGCACTCGCATGATTGCATGAATCAACCAAATAGTGCAGGGTAGTGTGCGCATCACATGCTCCAACCATAGATAAACAACAAGCAACCAAAAATATTATATGTGGCGCCAACCATCATCAAACATTAAACAGATTGCTGCTGTATTCAGCCAGGTTAAGTGAAGTTACCCAAACTAAATAGTACCTACTTTAAATTCAAATTAGATTTAAATTTTCACATAGTAAAATAATTTTAATATTAATAATAATAATTTAGTAACATAAATTTATTCATAGTAAAATGTACTCGCAGGCCTTAAAAATAATTTGGCGAGCCGCCAGTTGGACAGCCCTGCTGTATGTCATTATTTGAACAGAATATATACAAGTTGTGACCCCCCCCAAAAAAAAGCGACTCTAAGTGTGTAGCTTGAAAAAAGAATGGAGTTGGCAACAACTGTTTTGGTGATGTCATGCCACACACACCCTCTATCCATGTGCAAGTTTCGACTTAACCTACCAACGCCAGTGGGAAGTATTGCATCACTAAGTGAAAATGTGAAACTGCATTCTGCCGGAAAAATGTCTAATGTAAAACCGGAACAGCAAATCAATATCAAGTTTCTTGTGAAACTTAAGAAATCAGCCTTGGAGGAAGCATTTCAAATGTTAACCGAGGCTTATGGAGGTGAAACTTTGTCTCATGCACATGTGTTTGAATGGCATGTTTTTGAGGGGAAGGGACAGTATGGAAGATGATGAATGTGCTAGGCACTGGGTGCCCAGCACGTTCATCATGATTGAATGGGTTCCCAGTGGTCAGAGTGTTAATCAATACTACTACATTGAAGTACTAAAAAAGACTTGAGGAAAAAATTAGGGAAAAAAAGGCCACAGTTGTAGAATGATGCACCCGCTCACACGGCTCTATCCGTCAAGCAGTTTGTGACCAGCAAAAATATTACTGCAATGGGGCATCCTCTTTATTCACCTGATATGGCTCCATGCAACTTTTTTTTATTTCGTTAAGTTAAAACTGACTTAAAGGGAACCCATTTTTCCTCAGTTAAAGAGCTCAGGAAAAACTGAGAATTTCCTGAAGGGCCTTCCAAAAACCTCGTTCCAGAACTGTTCCCAGCAATAGCAGCACCGAATGCAAAAGTGTGTGAATGCTGAAGGGAATTACTTTGAAGGTGGTAATGTCACAGAGAACTGATTCTGTAAGTACAGTGATTTATTGGACGAATCTCTCTGTCCCCCTTTTTTTTATCACACCTTGTACTCTTGGTCATGTGTCACATGATATCCACAGAATTTTCATTTTTTGCATGCAGCCAGATAAAAAATTGAATTAAGACACTTCAGGTGAACAATATAGCATCAAGTTGATTACTTTTATATTTGTTTTGTAAATAAAATGTGTTCATCATACCTTATCTTAATAATTGACTTCAAGATTTTTTTTCATGTAATTCATAAGAAAATTATATCATGAGTTTTCATCACATGTTCTTCAACATTTTCTTTGTAACATTTGATATAGCATCTGTTATTTTGGCCTGTACTTTCTTTACTTCTTCTAAAGTTACCAATGTTATCAGTTTTTTAGTATTTTAATTAATTTTTGCAGCTGTTAACATCTGGACATTCATACAGACTTCTAAACCACCACTGAAAGATAATTTACTTCCACAAAATACACTTAGCCTTTTTTTTTTTTTTTTTTTTTTTTTCTTTCATTGATGACAATTTGTTACTAACTATTCTTTGGTGCAATCAAATACAAGGTGTAGGGCTTCGTAACGATAAAGATTTTACATTTCTATCTTCCGTAGTTATTTCAAGTAAATGTTTACAATCAGGAGAAGGAATTTTGCTCACCTTGTGTATTAAAAATATTTTGGAATTGTTTGTTAAATAAATTTTAGTAAAATTTTGAAATATTGCAAGGTATACGTAAATAAGTCATATTAGTTAATAAAAAAATCTTATTTGGACACCACATGACTTCCTTGTATGGCCTATATTAAATTGTACACAATTTTTTGCTGCACTTCATTTAAACTTATATCCTCAAATTATTCTAAATTTAATTAACAGATTTCTCAAGGCAAGTTGAAAATTACATCAAGCATTTCAAGTTTTGAAATTAAATGTCCTATTAAATTTTTGTCATACGGGAATCAGACTTCTTAGATTTTTATTTTTTCATAACTAGTATGAAACTTTCCCAAATATAGGTATAGTAACTGGGAGATTGCATCAGAAGTAAATTTTGTTATTTGTCCAAAATCTAATTTTTTTTTTTTTTTTTTTTTTTTAAATTTTATATTGCTGAAATATGTATATTTTCATCATTTAAAACATTTCTGTAATTGGATGCATATGACCAATATTCGTAAAAATAAAGGCCAGGTAATGGGGTTGGGTATCTCTATGTATAGTTTTCGTACTGCCTATTGCAATAAAAAAGGGAGGTGCATAACTAGATGTTATTACAGTCCCATATGCAGAATTTCAATGTTCTCTAGCCATTTATTTTTTAGTTATGTGAAATGCTATGTACATATGCACAGATATCATGAAAAAAAGTCCATTTTACAATCCGTTTTGAATAAAGAGTCCTGCATTCTGTCTTTACATTATGCAATAAAATAGTCAAAATGTATTCATGAATGACTAAAATAGGTATTTCTGTTGAAATCTGCTAACTGAAATTTTTTGCAGTTGCAACACTTTCTTTATTTGGTACAAGGAAGTAATTAAAACAAGTTATTCTATTAGAATTAAATCCAAAATAACCTTGTTTTAATATCAGTTAGCTTTAAAATAAGATATTGTGCCAGGGTTTATGTCACAAAATTGTGAGCTTTATAAATTTTTTGTCATAAAAAAAAAAAAAAAAAAAAAAAAAAAAAAAAAAAAAAAAAACTTTCGAGTATAAAGTAAAAGAAGTATTGTAATCATAAAAACCTTTGGGTATCATATTTCAAAAGAAATATCCATTTTGACCATTCCTGAATCCATTTGAACAATTTTTTCTCTTGATGTCTATGTATGTACAGACAGAATAAAGGACACTTTTTTCCAGAAGGGATTTTAAAGTGGATTCAAAAGGTTTGTTTGTAACGTATCTCGCTTAACTCAGACAGTTAGCCATAGAATGCTTGAATTCTGTATCCCTTTACAGGGCCTAACTAAAAGTTCGTACCCAGCCTTTAATGTTGCAGTTTTCGGTCCTGGTCATACACAATCAATTACAGAAGTGTTTTAAATGATGAACATGTTCATCTTTTGGCAATATCATACTTAAAGAAAAAATAATTTTAGACAAATAATGAAATCTAACTTTTAATGCTAGTCTGTCAGTTCTTATACTTAGATATGGATATTCATTATGAAAAAATAAAATTAGAAGAAGTTTGACTCCTGTATGACAAAAATTGATCAGGATATTTAGTTTCAATTTTTGATGTCATTTTCAACTTGCCTTGAGGGATTGGTTATGTAAGAATAATTCAAGGAAATAAGTTTAAATGAATTGCAGCAAAAAATATGTATAATTTAATAGGCCATGTAAGGAAATATGGTGTTCACATCAGATTTTTAAAATTTAACTTTAATAAATGCTTTTTTTATTCCAAATATTATTTTATTTCAGACGAAAAGTTTATAGTATTTTACAAAGTGAAGGGATAGAACTTCCAAGATATGCTGTATTGGATAGAGAATCGAATCATCCTTCTGGTGGGTTTTTTTTTATATATATATTTGTGTAAGTTGTCATATTTTATATTGTAAATTTAGAATGAAGCTTTAATATTTCCTATTTTTTATTAAATTGATAGTTCTTTTTAATATTTGTTTCAATGATATATAAATAATTATTATTTTTATACTAAAAAAATTTGGAAGAATAGTTTCAGTGTTTTTCTAAAAATTAACAGTCATTTTTTTTTTTTTTTTTTTTTTTTTTTTTTTTTTACTAAGTAGTGAATACTTTTCTTTTATAATTTGGTTGTAGGCAAGTTTGGATTATATCCCTATTTAATAAAACGTGCATTAAAAATTAATTGTTAATATTTGATTGCATCTCTCTCTCTTTTTTCTTCCCCCCCCCTTGAATATTCTTGAGTGATTTTTTTTACTTGATTTTGTCTTAGTTATATTTTATTTGATCTTGAACCTTTAAATAAAGTTTTCTGAACAAAGAATTTGAACGTTTTTTGTATAATTTTTTTTAAAGATTTTTATAATGTACCAACTGTGTAATCTGTATATTGGAGATCTTCAGAATCTCTTTTTTCTATTATTTATTGATCAATTGGTTTATGCATTTATTTATTTCATTCTTACTTTTTAATTTCCCTGGATGAATTTTTTATAGAATTGGTAGAGGGGGAGGATCACGTGGAAGTAGATGGAGTCATATTTAATAAACCATTTGTGGAAAAGCCAATATCTGCTGAAGATCATAATATTTACATTTATTATCCCACATCTGCTGGTGGTGGCAGCCAAAGATTATTTAGAAAGGTAGGTTATCACTATATTTTCTTTCTGCTTTCTGTATTAAATTTATAATTAAATACTTGTGAAAGTTTGCAAATAAGAAGTATGTTAGGTTAAGTAACTTGAGTATGACAAAGCCATGAGAGCTAACTGCTTAAGGAATGGAGGACTTTTTTGAGAGGAACTCTCTCACATTCATGCTACACATGCGAAGAATCACAAAAACCAACCATGCATCCAGCTTATTCACCTGGAATCGAACTCAAAGCAGCTTGAAATACCAGTACCCCATCAGTGGTTGAGTTATCTTAAACACACAGCCATTGGTGGGACAGTAGAAGGTATAACCTCAGCCATAAAAAAACTAGAAAATCAATTTTTATGGTGCTGCATATTTACTTCTCATCATGGAATACAAATATGTTCCATATAAGTTATGGTATTATAAACTACAGATTAAAAAAAGAAAAAAGTATTAATTACTTTAATTTTGTTTTCATTTCAAAATCCTAATTTTACAATAATTCTTTGTTAATCAGAAGAGCCAGTGTTTTAAAAATCATCTGTTGTTTATATTTATTTTTATTGCAGTTATTAAGAAAATGTAGTGTTCTTGAAAATATAAAAAGTTAAGACTTAGTTTAAGTAAATACTACAAAAAATAATGCATTAGCAATGTATTAGTGGAGTTAGGTTAATCTCGTAGCATTTTTTGCTTAGAGTGCATTCTGATAGCTTGCATTTTCTTGTGTTTCTTACAAATTACATTATTGCAACTTTTAATATATCATTTCAGTTAAGGCTCATAAAAGTGTTCTTGTAATACATGAAATGTTGAAGTTATACTGCCACATTAAATCTGAGTTAAACTGTAGAGAGGGATTCAGAATTAAGCTATTTTCTAAAGATAATTAAAGACCATACACAAACAACAACATTATTTAGACTGGCACATTAATTAGCTGTTAACATCACAACACTATGTTCTTAACTGTGTACTGTATTTTAGGGAATTTAAAGAGAAACAAAAAATTATAACAAAAGGTAGATTATTATACCTAGTTGTTTTTGTTTAAAAATAAAATGAACTCAGTTCTGTTTTATATAATTTTGATTTAATATAGTCTAAAAAATTAAATTAGTTCCCTCCATGCTTTATTTATATCTACTGTGATTCAAATATGCCCTTTTTTAAAAAGACTCATTTAAATTATAAATTTAAAGCAATATTTCAATTAATGAAGAGATTCTGAAATTAACACTAAAAATTTAACTTTTGTGGTCATACTTAAATTAATAAAGAATATTCAAAACTATTAATATATTAATATTGATATCAAGAGAGAAGTTATAATTATAAGAAGTATGATAGGACTTCTCTTTTGATATTAATATTATTAGTTTGAAAGCAAGTAATTTATACTTGATTTTCATTTGCAAGAGGCATCTAATTTTTTTCGGTACTTACGTATCATCGCAACCAGGTTGGCGCTATTTGTAAGTTTGAGTAAAAAAGTATGAATAGAAAGCAAATGTACATTTATTAATTACAGATAATTTTTAATACAGTTTTTTATATTATTTTGTTTTAAAATATAAAATAGCAATTAAACCCTTCCGGTTTCGAATTTGAATAAGTTGCAGAATTATTTTTTCGGCAGAAATCTTTTGGCTATTGCTTTTAGCACTGATTGAAAACCGTATTCGCCATAACCATGTACACGTCAACTTATTTTTACTTAAAAAAACATCCCAGAATTGCACAAAAATGGCATTGCACACACTCTTGACTTTATCCATGTACACTGCTATTTTCTCATAAATTAAAAAAATTTGCACGAAAATGCAGGAAAATTTTGTGAATCTCCACATTCTCTTTTTACAAAACTACGTATAACGTGTAGGGTTGCCGTAAGTAGGGTCGCCAAATTTGGCAATTTATGCGAATTTTGGCCTGGTTGCGTTAATACGTAAGTACCGCTTTTTCTCACCCCCCCCCCCCCCGCTTTTTCTCATAGTGGCTGCATTACTTTTCATATACAGGACAAAGTCTGAAATCCAGCCATTTAGGCCACCAGCAAAAATACCCCCCCTTACCAAAGTTTAGGCATTAAAAAATCAAAGCTAGTTCATTAAAAATGCAGTGTGTAGTTTTTGGATTACTGTAATTTAAGACAGTAAAAATATTTTAAGCTGAAAAGAAATTCTAATTAGCCTAATATATGGTGTACAGGTGTAATTATTGTTTCATTTATTATATGGTAGTTGTATTTATGCATGTACAAGCAAAATATCTATATTGCTTCTCATTTGGTGAAATTTAATCCATGTTCATTTCTCACTTTTTGATAAGACTTTTTGATTGTCAATGCTTCTCTTATAATTCACTATTCTTGTATTTACAATTCTCTGTTATAAATATTTGCATTTTGTTTATATATTATGAAAATAAATTATTTCTGTTAGTTAGAGATCAGTTGTATAGAATTCAGTTTTAACAAGATAAATAAATATATTGATTTTTTAAGATGCATTCCATTAAAATATGGATTCAGTTCCAAGTAATGATGCATAAGTATTTTAATTTGAAACTTGGCTGTTATAAAACTATACTAAAATCAATTTTGATAAATTTATAGGTAAGGCATGCCTCTTCATTGTATTTTTGAAGCTCAGATACATCAATCAGGGATGTTTATAAATAGAAAATCTAAAACTTTGTGTTCTGTAAAAAAAGAGAGAGAGAGAGAAAACACACCTATTATTACCTTGAAGTTAAATCAAAATTAAAGAGTGGATCAGAATTTGAATAAACACATCATATTATGCAGTGCCTCTGTATCTTATTACAACCTTCATTATTTAAACAGCGCCAAGTTGCTAAGTTTTAAGAGAAAGTCCAAAACCGTCTTGTATAGAATTTGTACCTTCTACATTGCTGTGTGGGATTCTAATGTATAGCATGAGATGCATTTTATTCCCCCAACTTGTCAGAAGATATGCTTCTCTTTTGCTTGTAATTTTTCGTGTTCATTGATACTGTTGCTTGCGTGCAGGCTCATAGTGGATTGAATGCACGCAGAATAGGTGATAGCTTGATAAAATTATTTTTCCCAAAAGAAACATTTTGCAGTTCTGAAACTTTGCATAAAAGTACTCATACAGCTCTTCTCAATATCACAAAGCACAATCAGTGGAATTGGATAACATAATGCAAAGTGAATTAAATTTCTTTAATTCTATAAAGAGAAAAGTTCACATGGAGATCTCTCATAACTTCAAACTCAGATCTGAACTAAAAACTGAAAACTGATTCTCTCTCGGGTCTTGTATAGTCCCTCAGCAGCGGAGAGATCTCCATTTCTTGAAATTAATGGATGGCAAATAAGGTTTCAGTTACATATAAGGGTCAAATACAGTTACAGTTACATAGGCACTTAGACCATGTACAGTTAGTTATACAGGGAACGGACTAAATTGTCGCCAAATGGTCACCAAGTTTGGCGACTTTTGGCAATTTATCTTCAAATTTGGCAGCAAAAATAAGTCATGAAAATCATCACCAGCATGATGATATCTCACCAGTTTTGTGAGACAGCCATTTTCTGCATGTTAAACAGACTTGCCCCTGTAATCTTAGTTTTCCTGAAAAGCTTCTCATTTCTTGAAGCCATTCATGTTGCATTATACAAAATTTGTAACAGCATATATATCAGGGATGCCAGACACTATGACTTCGGGAAATTTTGAGAGCTGCAACTAAATTTTCCAAGCGTGGTAGTATTTTGTGCTTAAATTATTTCAAAAATAACAAAGCAGGTTTCAATGAAAAGAAATATTTGGTACATTTATTAGAATTTCACATTTTATATATATAATTAATGTTATTACATATACATAAGAACTTTATTTTTCTTGCTCTATGTTTAAAAACATTTATTCCTGCAATATACAGTCAAAAGTCGTTAATCCGGACTCTTCGGCGATTTCGGATTATCGATTTTTCCAGATTATAGATCATCAGTTTAAATCTGGTAAGATGGCATGCAGAAATTATAAAATTAAAAATATGAAACCGTAATTTATGAAATAAAGAACAATTATGATCTAAAAAGGTATCAAATTTACAAAAAAAAAAAAAAAAAAAAAAAAAAAAAAGGCTTAATTTTATTTGTTTACTTTATCAAACATTTCTTTCAATGTAAGTTGTTTAAGTTGCTTCGTTTTTTGTGATAATACTTTCTCTTAATTCTATAAACAGACATAATTTTCTTGTTCAGTTACAAAGTTCCGCTGTTCAAGTCCTATAATTGCTGTGTCGAGAATACCGACTAATTTGTCAATCGAAATGTTTCGTTTTCAATAACCTCTGTCACTTTCTTCCGTATCGGAAGCGAATTATAATGACGAGGAATTTGATTTAAATCATATCAAAGATGGAGTACATCGAGATGAAATACTACATTTAGTAAGGAATTATAAGCCAAATAAAATAAAAACATGTGCCCTGAAGATAAGGATAGTGCTGACAGATCAACTTTAATTTGTTGCGCGCTGCTGCGTTAAAGATAAACAAACGTTAAAGTTTAGATAAACAAAGGATATGCCTTTATCCATTTTTTGCAGCAATTCCACTTTTTGTTTAATGGACTTCGAAACATACTTTCGCTTTGTAGATCCTTTACATATTAGTAAATATATATCAGAAATTCTATTTGACATAATCGAAAGTTCAAGCTTACTTTTATAAAATTGCTCTAACAGTCTGCAAAAAATAATAAACCGAATCCATTTCGAAGATTAAGGAACAACGCAATCTGCAACATTAACTGAATTAGATAATTTTAGCTTAGCTTATACCGTCCGTTATACATTAAACGCACATTCGTAAACGTATTTTGCGCACATGCACATTCGTAAACGTATTTTGCGCACATGCATATTCGCAAACGTAAAGGTCTTACGTGCATGTGTCAATGTGGCGCATGTGCAGAAAGTTTATAGCTTTGAGGTCCAGATTATAGATCATTCCGGATTATTTGTGTCCGAATTAACAACTTTTGACTGTATAAAGTTAAAATGTTTTATAATACTACGACTAAACACTGTTTTTTTTCCAGATCATTTATATATATATATATATAAAATTCCCCCTTTTTTTTTCTTTTTTTCTTTTTTATTATATAATTATTGAATCATTTTAATAGAAATTAATTAAAATCGAAGAAAGAATCAGAATGTTCTTTGCAAGTATAATATTTTAAAATTTTCATTTGATTGAAGAATAAAGCACTAATTTGAAAAATAGATCCAATAATTTTCTTTATTTTTAATTTGAACACAGGTATCTGGAAAGAATAAAATAAGTAAAATGGGACAATACAAACTGTGGGAAATTGCTGTTCAAAAAAATTTGTTTGCTTGTTTCGGCACAGGAGGGCTACCTGCCTGTCTGCCTTATCAACATACAGAAATAAAAACCTAGTCTTAAATCGTATATTTAATTCTTTAGATGCAAATTGGATTATTAGCTACATTTCATTCCTTCTAAGTAGAGGACTTCTAATTTCTCAGATACCATAAATCTTGAGAAGGATTTGAATTTTACCCTCTTTTTATCATTCAAATCTTTTGAATCCTAATTTTCTGACTGTTTTAATTCAAAGCTTTAAAAATATTAGTTTTATTGACACTCAGTAGAAGTGTTAACTAGGAAAAATATTATTACTATTTCAGTGATATCTGAATGACTAAAGTCACCTCGTTGATGGCTTTGAGTGCCATATTGTTTCAGCATAGCATCAAATAAAATGTGCCAAAAGTTTGAAATAATCAAGACTTTCACTTTCTCCAAAGTTCACATCAATCACTTTCTCCAAAGTTCTAGAATCTCACTTTCAAATCATCCTAGTAATTGTTGGCATTGATAACTTACTACAAATACATCTTGGGTGATTCTAACAACTCGCTGCATAGTATATAAATACTGTATTGCAAGCATGATTTCACATGTCTATGTGCTACTAATCAGCCACAGTTGAATTGTGACCAGTTAATTCCAATTTGAGGAATTGCTCAAATATACTTGTCAAACATTTTATTTATGTGCATTAATATTTAAATTTCATTTCGTTTTTTAATAAATATAGGTAGGTGTATTTTTAAAACTGTATTTTACAATTGTTTAACTTTTTCTTCTTTGTCTTATTTGTAGGATTAAGATGTTTACGATATTTGAAAATGTTTCTAAGTTCAGATTTAAATTTGGGATTTGATCTATCTATAGTTTTTCCCATTGTAGGTTAAAAACTATACTTTCATAGTACTGTTCAAAAGATTTGGGATATATCTTTGGTACAAAGTATGTAGGTTCATTAAAAAAGATAAAGCCAAAAGTATGTAGCAATATTATAAAGTGGGTGATGCAGTAGGAAGGAAATTTACTCTTCAGTTTTGACTTACATGAGACTTCTGATTAAGACAATGAAAAGGAAGTCAATGAGATTAGTGTAACTGAAAGCTAGGGCATTATTAGGGTAACTGAAAGCTAGGGCCTGGGGGGGTGCATTATTACTGTGCAAAGGAAAATTAATACCAGTATTTCTTATAGAAGATGTATTTCAGATAGATCACACTTTTACTAATGATGGATATTTTTTTATATTTTATGGAAGATTTAATGCAAAGTATTTTAAACATGCCTTTGAATATGCTTAATATTGTTGTGAGATTCACTCTCAAAGCATATCAATGAATTCTCAACCAGTGGTCCCAAGAAGTTTTTAAGTATATACTACACAAAAAGGAAGATATCTAGTATAATTAAGTATCTCTAAATGTTGTTTGGAGAATGAAGAATTCTGCTTTTTTTTAACAAAAGCAGAATTTTTTTTTTCTGTTTTTTATAAATTTTTCCTATATTTTCATTTTTTTTCTCTTATGAAGTTTTTAAAATTATGCCATATTTTGGGTATAAGCATTTTTGATTTTCTACCAGTTCTAAATTTGAAGACCCCACCATAAATTTTCCAGTCAGTTTTGATACCTTTGCATACCCTATAAGAAGTCTTATATTAATTCCTAGTAACCCATAATAGTGGAACAAGTTGTGTATAGTAGTATTATTTTCTGCTCAAGGTTTGAGACAGCATCAAGTATCTATTTGAGATCTCTAAATTATGACATTTTGAAGTGATATGTGTACTTGAAATGGAGTTTGCAGTTTCCTTGGATACTGGGAATATAGAAAATCAAAGATCTAGGCAGTTGATCATAGTTTGTGGACTAACTGATTCACAAAGAATTTGTCAGATGTATTAGATGATCGAAAGTCAGGCAGATCAAAATTATCAGCAGACAAAGGAAATATGGTACTTGTAATGGGCTTGAAAGACAGAAGATTAGCAAGAAGTATGCAAAGAACTATCTGCAGCTACAACAATTTCACTAGTACCATACAATAGTTTGAAAATCGTTCTGCAGGAAAGAAAAATTTGTGCTGATGGGTTCCTTACTACCTGATGCAACTTTGAGTTTTAAAGATAAAGGTGAAATATTTCTGTCTATATGTAATCTTATGAAATGTGGATTAGTGACATTAAACTAGAATTGAAATTGCAGCTAATCCAGAGAAAAAATCTATCCTCTCCTAACTTCAAAAGTTTCAAAACACGTTATCATAGATAAAGTAAATTATGATTCTGAATAGGATTATCAAGTAATTATTATGAAAAATACAGAGTTCAGCTGGAAAAAATGTAATTACAGTATATTATTGCAAGTGATGCGAAAAGTGTGCTGAAAATGCACATTTCATTCCTAAACACCTAATCTATTCAGGTAGTTAACCACCTGAATAGTTTAAGGTGGTTAGGAATGGACATTTTGAATATTACTTCAGACCTATTCATGGGAAGACTAATAGATCTTTCTGACCAAGTACAAGTGAGAAGTTTTATCTCATCCACTGTGCTGTGTATACATAAATCTACTAGACCTCAAATACTTCCTCAGTTTTAAATTGCCGCAGTAAGGACTGCATTTTTCCCTAGTCAACTGCATTTCAAAAATAAAAGTCTTATTTGATATATACCGATATATACTTTTCGCTAAGGCTATTTTCGCATATTTGAATGGTGATGGCAGTGGTGCTGTCATGTTCATGGGAATTCGGAAATGATCACAAAAGACCATGTGTAGACAAAATGCGGCCAACTATCTCCGTGATGTTCCCAGAACAGAGACATTTAGGATTAAAAGGATATTCTCTAAGAAGAATCAGGGATCTTATAATTGTGGGAAGGTCAAAAATATGGTCAGGACATAATACTATCTAGTCACCATTATTGCAAGGATGTTAATATATTGTGCCATCTAGCTTCATACTCTGGAAAGTGCTGGGTTCTGAGTCGAGTTATAGTTTTAATGATTTTGATTCTCTCTATGTGTCTACTCAGAGCTTTTATGATGGTGTTACTGTTAAGTAATCGTGGTTAGGCCTGTTGGTTATTTGATGATGGTTTGTGATATATGTTGGTGATTTACAGATAATCTTGTTGCCTTTAAAATAATGGAGGCCATAATAATAAGGAAATATCTTTTATACATGTAAGATAAAAAATATATGAAGCAAAGTTTTAATTTGAATTTGCAATAGTCCTTTAACTTTTTAATTTAATTTGGGCATTTTCTCTTTTTGTACTAAAAATAGTAATTGAATATAATAAGTGCTGTAAACTGCATCATTTCAAAATTATTGCTTTCATATGACTTTTAATAATGCTGGTGACTGAACTAAACCAAAGAATAATAATTTTTGAGCACTATTAATTAACCAATCAAATAATATTGAAATTGAAACTAACCAACTCTGAAGTAAATTTTGTCTTGAACATATTATACTTCCTTTCTGCTTCTCTTGCTAGCTCGATGCTGCCATGCTTCACTTCTTACTGCAGCAATATCACCACTGCAGATGTAAAAGTTGTGGAACAGGCATGTTTAGTGTGTCAAATGTTAATTACGGTAAAAAAGATTATTTAAATCTGCCTTGACTGCAAGCTTCTTATAATATCTACATGACTTTACCATTTATTGTCTACTTGGTTTTTAATTAAAGTAATTTAAACCTACTTTTCTGCATATGATCTAAAAATTTTAATTACCTATATTGAGATTTTGTATTTTTCTTTCAGATTGGTAGCAGGAGTAGTGTTTATTCACCAGAAAGCAGAGTAAGAAAAACTGGTTCATTTATTTATGAAGAGTTTATGCCAACAGATGGCACTGATGTGAAAGTAAGGATTTTCATTATTACTGGGCTTTATTCTTAATTAAAAAAAAAAAAAAAATATTTGATGATGTTTGTGATTTAGCTTTTAAAAGTATTTGATCTTGGTTCTGAAAGTTTACCTTTTTTCTGACTTTTGAAAATTTATCCCAAATCTTTAATTTTAGAGAAAAAATCTATTTGCTATGTTTTCTTTTAAAGTAGTTGAGAAAAGAATAGTTGATTGAAGCCTAATATTAAACTTTTCTAAATTCAGCTGCATCCGAGTTCTTGAGAATCTTGCACTTCCTATGGCTTCAAAAAGTCTAATTGCAATTTATTACCTGCTGATATATTTTTAAGTATAATAACTATGCCATTGGATGCTTTGCCTTGAGGTGCTGAAACTTATTGTATATTGATTCTGTTTCCAAGCCCTTTAAGCTCATTTTGTTGTACATTATGTAGAATGATTTACAAGTTGATAATTGCAGGAACCTATTCAAATTGGCAGAAATTTTGGTGTGTTATTGGGGGCATTTTTTTTCCCTCAGCTAAAAGTCCAAGTACCAACTAATCTGATATTTGCTGGGCAGTTTTTTTTCTGTCATTTTACTAATGCATCACCAAGAACACATTATTATTATACTTGAAATAGAAGCAGAAATGGTAATTACCTAAACATCTAAGCATTACATAAGAATCAAATTCATGCCCATAGCAGTCAAAGTTTGCTGGTCATCACATTAGTTATTTTGATTATTTTTTTTAAATTTATAAATCAATACAGTCAAAAGTCGTTAATTCGGACACCCATAATCCGAAATGATCTATAATCCGGAAATCAAAGCTGCAAACTTTCTGCGCATGCGCACAGGCGTTTACGAGAGCGCGTAAGACCTTTACGGCTGCTAATATGTTTGTGCACATGCGCATTTAATGTGTAATGGAGGTATAAGCTGAGCTAAAATTATCTAATTCAGTTAATGTTGCAGATTGCGTTGTTCCTTAATCTTCGAATTGGATCCGGCTTATTATTTTTTGCAGACTGTTAGAGCAATTTCATAAAAGTCAGCTTGAACTTTCGATTATGTCAAATAGAATTTCCGATATATATTTACTAATATGTAATTTGTATCTACAAAGCGAAAGTATGTTTTAAAATCCAAAATCTGTTTATCAATTTCACACCGAGGATTGGAAGTTGATCTGTCAGCACTATCCTTATCTTCAGGGCAGATGTTTTTATTTTATTTGGCTTATAATTCCTTACTAAGTGTAGTATTTTATCTCGATGTACTCCTTTGATATGATTTAAATCAAGTTCCTCATAATTATAATTCGCTTCCGATAGTGAAGAAAGTGACCCAGAGGTTATTGAAAACGAAAACATTTCGATTGACAAGTAAGTCGGTATTCTCGGCACAGCAATTACGGGACTTGAACAGCGGAACTTTGTAACCAAACAAGAAATTATGTCTGTTTATAGAATTAAAGAGAATTATCACAGAAAACGAAGCAACTTAAACAACTTACATTGAAAGAAATGTTTAATAAAGTAAACAAATAAATATTAAGTTTTTTTTTTTTTTTTTTTTTTGTAAATTTTGATACCCTTTAGATCATAATTGTTCTTTATTTCATAAATTATGATTTCATATTTTTTAATTTTATAATTTCTGCATGCCATCTTACCAGATTTAAACTGATGATCTATAATCCGGAAAAATCGATAATCCAGAATTGCCTAAGTCCCGACGAATCCGGATTAACGACTTTTGACTGTAGTACAATAGTTCAATATTGACATCATTTCCATCCTTTTTTTCACCAATTTTACTGTCCCAAAATTAAGAAGGGAAAATTGCACGAATATTTTTATTTTTGATGGATGCAATTACAATAAAACCATAACAAATCAAAAGTAGTCATGGATAAACTACAAGTAACTATATTAACAGGATTTTTTAGAAAGAAACCTATATTCCAGTAAGAATAGTAATGTATTAATATTACAATATCTAATAAGATATCTTCATTTCTACTTCCCTGTAACTTGAATCTCACTTGTTCTTATTCTTGTTTCTGCTACTCTTTAGGCCTTGAATCATCCATAAATAATTAGAGAAAGTGAATATGCAGCTGATTCAATAAAATCATAGATTGAATGTCAGTCCATGTTTGCTTTGCTGTGATGTATCTCATCTTGTATATTAGGCTGACATAAAGTTCAACAATTAGAAGGGAAAGATTTGGCATGACCGTTACAGTTAGCTTGCAGGGATTTGTCATTGTTAGTATGATGAAAACAAACACTACATAGACGAATTCATTTATAAAGTCTAAGAAAGTTTGTTCTCTGAATGCAGTTGAGGAAGGGGGATATAATGCAAATATTTTTAAATTTTCAGAACCTGGAGCTAAAAGGCTAAAGAGAATTATGTGAGGGGGGAATACACGAGGAAATCTGGTACAGTAAAAAGTCTTTGATCCAGACTTATCAGGACTTCGGCGATTCCGGATTAGGTGTTTTTTCGGATTATACATCATTAATTTAAATCTGGGAAGATGGCATGCAGAAATTATAAAATTAAAAATATGAAACCGTAATTTATGAAATAAAGAACAATTATGATCTAAAGGGTATCAAAATTTACCAAAAAAAAAAAAAAAAAAAAAAAAGCTTAATATTTATTTGTTTACTTTATCAAACATTTCTTTCAATGTAAGTTGTTTAAGTTGCTTCATTTTTATGTGATAATACTTTCTCTTTAATTCTATAAACAGACATAATTTCTTGTTCAGTTACAAAGTTCCGCTGTTCAAGTCCTATAATTGCTGTGTCGAGAATACCGACTAATTTGTCAATCGAAATTTTTCGTTTTCAATAACCTCTGTGTGACTTTCTTCACTGTTGGAAGTGGTACATTGAAACATGCTTTCGCTTTGTAGATCCTTTAGCAGCTTCAAAATCGGAAACTCTTTTTGACATAATCGAAAGTTCAAGCTTACTTTTTATAAAATTGCTCTATCAGTCTGCAAAAAATAATAAGCCGGATCCAATTAGAAGATTAAGGAACAATGCCATCTGCAACATTAACTGAAATAGATAATTAGAAAATTTTAGCCTAGCTTATATTGTCCGTTATACATTAAATGTGCATGTGTAAAGGTATTATGCACATGTGCAGAAAGTTTGTAGTTTTGAGGTCCAGATTATAGATCATTCTGGATTATGGACATCCGGATTAAAGACTTTGTACTGTATTATTTTCTTGGTTACTTTCAGTTATATTTTTTTCATTTGATAAGATGTGAAGATCCTGATGTAAAAGATACTCAGTTTTATTTTGATTTATAATTCATATATTCTGGAAAAAAAAGTTGAGATATTTAAAAATTTTCTGTGTATCATATGTTTATTCCTTGTTTTAAGCCATGCTTATTTGCTTGTTTTATGATCTGATTTGAATCCATAAAAAACAGTATGAGAAAATTTTCTTGTTTTCTAACATCTCTGGCATTTTAATGATCGATAAGTAAATTTTGTGCGACCTGTTTTAAATATTAACATTTAAAAAAAATAAAAGGGAGGAAATGTCTATTTACTGCTATATATTCTCCAAGGTAATATATATTAATTTTTTATACTCTTTAGTCAGCAGTTCTTTTAGTTTTACTTTTTATATGTAAATTTGTAATATTTAAAATTTTTTCTCTTGGAAAAAGGTATATACAGTTGGGCCTGATTATGCTCATGCAGAAGCAAGAAAGTCACCTGCATTAGATGGAAAAGTTGAAAGAGATAAAGAAGGCAAAGAAGTTCGATATCCTGTGATTTTAAGTAATGCAGAAAAGCTCATTGCTAGAAAAGTGTGCTTAGCATTTAAAGTAAGATTTTAAGTTTCATATTGTTTTATATTTTCAAAAATTGTAATTTTGTGGCTAGTAATCATGGATGCAAAAATACTGTGCACTATTTTACTAACCTGGAATAGTAATTAAATTGGGTTTATTATATTAAATTAAAGTGCTTACAAGTATATTCAATTCTAAAATTCTATGGGCTGACCAATGGCTGAGGGGTAAAACTATTGAACACTGTTAGTTCCTCCTGTGCTAAAATCTTTACAAATAAGATGCCTCTATGGAAGTATTTTCACATATATCATATGGTTTTCCACGTGTATTGTATGAATATGAACAACCAGTTTCTCTTAAAACTACCAATATTTAATACTTTTACTACTCAGTTACTAGTGACGCTGAATAAAATATTATATTTTAATAACTTTGAGTATAATGAAAATCTTTTGTTCCGTTTTCTGAGATGGGTTTTCTTATCCATATGCATAATAATTTTGGAGTTGTTGTTACTGGGAAAGTTTTCACTTCGTATTATTAATGAAGGAAATAAATTTTGCTACCTTCCATAATTAGAGGTATTCTTCCATTAAAAGTACTGAAATAATTTCAGTTTTCCCCTTATTATTAAGTACAAAACATTGTATTGGAGTAATATTATATTTAACTTAGTATATACCTCAGTTGCTGAATCACATGACTGTTATAGTTAAATGCCGAGTTTTCGTAGTTATGTGTAATGTAAGTATAAACCAGTTTCCTTTAAAAAACACGGCTGAAAGACATTTCCAACTCTTTGCATAGCATACTATTTTTAATTAATCTGATTATTTTCGTTAGCTATGATTTCATAAATACCTTAATAAAATAATTACTTGTCTAAAAGGAAAAAACATTTTTCATTATAATGATATGTGCCTTTTTTAATTACAGCAAACTGTGTGTGGTTTCGATCTTTTGAGAGCAAATGGAAAATCATATGTTTGTGATGTGAATGGATTCAGCTTTGTGAAAAATTCTATGAAATATTATGATGATTGCTCAAAAATTTTGGGGTTGGTATTGATAAAGCTGTTAATTATTTTTTTTTAAATCTCTGTATTTTATTTTTAAAATATTGTTTCATTTTTATTTCTGAGTAAATTTACAATTTTACTTAAATATTTTTTTTTCAAAACTGTCTGAAATTCCTGATATTTTTATAACAGTGTTTCAATTACATAAAAATGCTTTTGTATTTAAAGTTGCTGCATATCTGTCATGCAATATTAGAACATCTAAATTTTATGTGCTTCTGTAATAGTTTAAGTAAAAAATTTTTAATTATTATCACTTAATTAATCATAAGTTTTCTTTATTTCACTTTATTATGTTTTAGAAATATGATTCTTCGTGAACTTACGCCTCAACTTCATATACCATGGTCCATGCCTTTTCAGTTAGATGATCCTCCAATAGTTCCTACTACATTTGGTAAAATGTGAGTAATGTGTTTTTTAAAAGCTGTAATTATTTCATATGAAATAATTTAGTTCTGTAATCTTGAATATGTTTCTAAATTACTAAAATTTTTAGACGTTTGTAAAAAAAAAAAATTACTTGTCTAGGATGGAGTTACGTTGTGTGATTGCTGTTATACGTCATGGAGACAGAACACCTAAACAGAAAATGAAAATGGAAGTCAAGCATGAGAAGTAAATTTTGTTCACTTTGTTCATGCTCTTTTTATGCAAAAGCATCATATCTTAAGTATAAATTTAATTTTAGAGAGGAAAATTAAAAAAAATATGAATTATATTTATTTTTCAGCAATCGTTGTAAATTTAGCATTAAAATGTAGCAGTAATACATTGGGTTTGGGAAGTAAGTTTATAAATATTGGTATCAAAAATTATCTTTCTATCTACTGAAACATTGAATTCTCGAAAGACATTTTTCATAAACTTGAATGAATTGGTTTGAGGTCATACATAACATCATAACTCATAAATGTGAATTGAAAAATTGAATCATGATAGGAATTAAATATAATTGAAATAACATATGCCAAAAAAATTTTAGAAAAAGGGAAACACAGTGTTCTGATAATAACAGAGAATGCTAACTTGTATGCAAATGTAACACAACATGGTTCTGTACTTCCGATAAGAGCATGATCAGAATTTGGTTACACTTATTCACTAATGTGGTCTTTAAGATGCTGTGATTTCTTGGAGGAGAATTTTATCCTTCTCAGGGGTGTTTATTCAATTCTCTATGACTAAAATCAATGAAGTCTGGTAACCAGTTTAAGTTTTCAGTTTTTAAAAATTCATCAGTTAAATTTTCTTATTGTAGATGCACATTTTCATTGATGAAAAGTAAAATCATATCCATATGCATCTCTTATAATACTCTGTTTTGGTAACTCTGAGTACACAATCTTCTGCTGAACATGTGTAGCAGTGCTCTTTGATTGTTATTCTTCTCCATACAATGGAATTTGCACCTCCTTAATGGTCTTATTCTGTAATATTGGTGGGAATAGCTTCATAGAAATTATGGATGTAATAGTAATCGCAAGTTAAAATGTCAGTTTTGAATTGACTTTTCTATGCAAGTGAGCAAAACTGAAAGTCTGAAACTTGTGACTGTGCTGATGTCATAATTGGAATATCATGTTGACTCCAAAGACTCTGCCGATGTCACAAATGACCTATCAAAGGGACTTAAACCATTGTACTGTTATCATATGTGATGTAATTAACTTCACGCACAGTGGATTAATAAAACATGTATTTGGAAATTCGGAGCATTCACATTACAGTAATCAATATTTTGTTTACAACAGTTCTGAGCTAATGCTGCCACATTATGCTATATAATGCTTTGATAGGTAAAAACAAAAGCTAATAAAGAAAATGAATTACATTAATTATTGCATCTCAGAATATTTGAAGATAAAAAATAACAACACCCCTTTTGAATAATTAATCTTGAGGTTTATAAAATCCTTAACAAAAGATTATGCATTTACCTTTAGATGTATTCATGTGATGAATTAATACATAACATGAAATTACACTTTTAACATAATCCAAGCTTTTGCCTTAAATTTATTTTTCCTAGTGGCTTTGTTAAAATACTTGCTATCTTTTCTTCAGTGGGCAGATATCAGAATTCATAATTTTCATCTTTAACAAGATCTTTCACAAAATATTTAGTGTCTGTATGTTTAGTTCTCCCACTGTCCTTATTTAACATTTTAATGCAACTTTGATTATCCTCATAGAAAATGCAGGCAGTTTCGCTTTCATGGAAATCTTGCAAAAAACCTTATAAGTCAAACTGTCTCCTTTGCTGCTTCAGCAAGAGCTAAAAATTCCATCAGTTGCTGACACACACAATTGTTTTCTGCAGTTCCGTATAAAAATGCTGCTTTGATATGCAAAGAAATACTTTTGTTAGATTTCATGTTGATACGATCATTTTCTCAATCTTTATCCATTTAGAAAGTTGTTTCCTTTTCCTAGGTTAGGGCAGGTTAAGATCTTTAGTTAATTTCAACTATCTGAAGAGCTTTTTGCATTCAGTAGGTTTTGACACTTTTCTGGCTACGATGGAAACAGCAGCTGCTATGTCTGGTCTGTATTCACTACTAGGTACAGTAATGGCCTTATTGCACCTTTATATTCCTCAGTTTTATTGTAAGCTTTTGAATCTTTCTTTTGCTTATAGTGCCGTGGATCAATAGGAAACATCAGCATCTTACTATCATTTTTGTGATACTCTTTAGTTTTCTTGAAATGTTGCTTGATTGGTCTGTGTAGAATATTTGCTCACTGTCACATTGGAAATGTATACTTAAATAGTAATGAAGATTTTCCAAATTTTTTATTGTAAAATATTCGTTAATTTCCTTTTCAATTTTTTTTTTTTTTTTTTTTTTTCAAAAAAGTAAATTTTTTATGCTAGCTGTAACAATTATATCATCCTCATATACACTCTTAGACAAAAAAAAAAAAAAAAAAAAAAAAAAAAAAAAAAAAACGGCGGACCAAGAAGGAGTTATCTGAATGGGACTGTAGAAGTGATGCATATGAACAGAAAAACAAATTATTACAGTATGAGAAAAATTGGTTGATTTATTGAAGTGATAGAGCTTCACAAAGTGAAAAAGTCAGTAATGCATTTGTCCACCTCTGGCCCTTATGCTAGCAGTTATTCGGCTTGGCATCAGTTGATAGTGTGGATGTCCTCCTGAGGGATATAGTGCCAAATTTTGTCCAACTGGCACGTTAGATCATCAACATCCCGAGCTAGTTGGAGGGCCCTGCCCATAATGTTTCAAACGTGCTCAATAGGAGAGAGATCCGGCGACCTTGCTGACCAAGGTAATGTTCAGCAAGCACTAAGGCAAGCAGTAGAAACATGTGCAGTGTGGGGGCGGGCATTATCTTGCTGAAATGTAAGCCCAGGGTTGCATGACACGAAGGGCAACACAACAGGCCTTAGAACTTCGTCGCCGTACCGCTGTGCTGTAAGATTGCGACGGATGACAAACAAACGGGTCCTACTATGAAATGAAATGGCACCCCAGACCATCACTCCTGGTTGTCGGCCTGTTTGTCGGAAGACAGGTTGGTATCACACCGCTGTCTGGGGCATCTCCAGACTCGCCTTCGCAGGTCATCGGGGCTCAGTTCAAAGCGGGACTCGTCACTGAAGACTATTCTACTACAGTCAGTGACATTCCAGTGCGAATGAGCCCGACACCACTGCAAATGGGCTTGACGTTATACAGAGGTCAATGGTAGTCATGCAAGGGGCGCCGTGACCTCAGCCCCCTTTCTGTGAGCCATCTAAGAATGATCCTTTCGGTCACTGAAGCGCTAGTTGCACGTACAGTCAATGATAATGATGAATCTGGGGCTGTGAGTACCGCTCTGACAATTGCTCGGTCTTCACGTTCTGTCATTTCTCTAGGCCTACCGCTTCCTTCTTGATGCTGTGTTCAGCCATGGTTCACCCATTCTTGCCATCATTGTCTAATAGTGGCATCACTCCTGCTCAAATGTCGAGCTATCCGCCGATAAGATCAACCAGCTTCTTTGAGCCCAATTTCACGACCTCTCTCAAATTCTGACATCTGCGCATATCGTTCGTGCATCTGTATGCGAGGCATAGTTACTGTCTACCAGAGTACACGGAATGAAATTCGTGAAGAATTTATGACCTGGAATCGTAATTTCTCCTCTTAAATATCCTGCCAGTTGCACAGATCAGATGCGCTGTAGCGACAACCATTCTTTCATTGGCAGCCAAAATGTAAAATTTTGCATTTTCCATCAAAACCTGTATGCATATCAATTTGTGTCCAATTTACTTTTTATGTTCTCGGTGCATCATTTTTTTTTTTTTTTTTTTTGTCTAAGAGTGTATATAAGTATATTCAGATCCCTTATTATGTTGTCTTCTATATAAAAAAGGATAATTTTGACTTCATTGAAATTTTTTGTGTAGGAGAACATCATTAATATTCTGTTCTGTTCATTTGTTTCTTGCTTGAGTCCATATAAATTCTTTATGAGCTTGCAAATTTTATCACCATCTTCAAAACCAGGTGTTTGCTTCATGTGTACATGGTGATAAATCTCAGTTTAAATATGCTGGCTGCAATCATAATGTTGCAATGACATTTTTCTTTTTCCTACCATAGTAAGAAGTATTCTTAAAGTAGTTGACTTGGCTACAGGAGCAAATACTTCATCATAGTCATGTGCATATTACTGCTGATATCCTTGAGCAGCCAGTCTAGCTTTTTAATGTCTTTTTGGTCTTGTATATCCAGTTGCAGCCTATAAGGATTTTAACTTCGAAACATTTGTCAAAATCCATGTGTCATTCTTCTTTAAAGAATTAATCTCTTCCTGCATGGCTTGTTTCTATTTTTCCTCATTAGCACTTGAATAAGCTTCATGATATGATGTTGAATCTGCTACTCTCTGTGACTCTGTTGAATGAACTAATGTTGGTTTTGTAAAGCAGTACATCTTTGTTTTGTCTATGAGAGTGTTTTATTTCTGCATTTTGAGAAATAACCTCCTTTTCTGAATTATTTTAAAAGTAATTACGTCTTCGGTATCCTCTTGTTTATCCTTAGGATTGGCCTTAGGATCCTTAGGATTATCCTTAGTTTATCCTTAGGATTTTGGTATAAATATCACATTCCAACTAAGTATGATACTGTCGATTTATATACAGTATACAATTTGTATACAGTAAATAATAACCTTTTTATTCCTTCTTCAAATGCAAACATGATTCATTTAACAGAAGTGTTGTCCAGTTATGTATATACACCGGAGAACCGAATAACTTGCATATAAGCCAATGATGGCTTCCTCTTATGCTACTTTTCAAAAGAGTTACTTTGATTTCTTTCACCGGCAATCTGTTTTGCAGAACACTTTCACCCCAATACTCATTTGGAAATTTAGCACTTTTTAGCTTCGCTCTTGTCTTCACAGTTGAATGCAATTCTTTCGGTGATTTCATTCTGTTGTGTAGAGTAAAGAACAGTTTTCTCGTGCATTATTCTATTTTCTCGTTATTATTCCATTTCTGATTTTTCAGTACTTGCTTGTATATACCCTCCTCAATCACACTTCAGTCATTTTGATGCTTTCCCTAATTATGTTAATAATTGTGTGATGAAATATGTAATATGGTCATCAGTTTCTTTTACACTTCAGAAGGTAGTGTATCTACTGTAATCATCAATTACTGTTAGTATATGTCTTGCGTCACCTGAAGTTACTGTTTGCATTGATATGTGAAGATCTCTGTGTATTAAATTAAGTATTTCGAAAGTTCATGAAGTAGATGTTTTGGGAAATGGTTCTTACATGCTGTGGTAGCAGTACATATGTCAGTATACTGGAACAGTGTACAGTATTAATATTTTCAGCCATAGCTTCTTTATACATCTTTAAAATATCTGCAGGATTTCTGTGGCTTAATTTTATGTGCCAATTATGAATGCATTTCACTTGGGTTTGTTTTGTATGAAGAGCATGTTCATTTTTCTTATGAACATAACAGACCTTCTTTGATGCAAAAGAATCCGTTTATATTATAGTTCTTAACCATATGGGCATTCTGTACTCTCAAAGTTCACTTCATATCCATTATAAATTAGCTTCTTTGTGAATAATAAAGTTTTAGATAGGTATGGAACAAAAAGTGCATGTTTGATTGTAATCTGTGTTTCTTCATTTTGATACTTCATCAAGCAAATTCCTTTTCCATGACTTAAACACTGTATATCTATTAGCCAGAGCAACGTGAAATTCATGAACAGATTTCGGAATGGTTAGAGAAACAAAGGATATGCCTTTATCCATTTTTTGCAGCAATTCCATTTTTTGTTTGATGGACATCGAAACATACTTTCGCTTTGTATATCCTTTGAAATTCTATTTGACATAATTGAAAGTTCAAGCTTACTTTTATAAAATTGCTCTAACAGTCTGCAAAAAATAATAATCCAGATCCAATTCGAAGATTAAGGAACAACGCAATCTGCAACATTAACTGAAATAGATAATTAGATAGTTTTAGCTTAGCTTATACCGTCCGTCATACAAAACATATTATGTCATACATAAACATATTATGCGCATGCGTAAAAGTATTACGCGCATGCGTAAACGCATGCGCAGAAAGTTTGTAGCTTTGACGTCCGGATTAACGACTTTTGACTGTATATGATTTAAAGCTTTGTGGTAGTCTGATGTTTGGCTGCGTGCGTCACCAGACCATGTCATGTTGTGTACGTAAAAACTGCCAGTGCTACGGTGAACTTGCCCACTTCACCTTTAACTTGAGTGTAGGATGTAAGAAGTTTTCTGTTATGTTAAAATACGGTGTGTGTGTGAATAAAGTATGTTTAGCAAAGTGGAGTCATGTCTTTGAAGGATATACACAAAACTCTCACGCACCATAGCTTTATTCTTGTAATCTGTACCAGATACTTTAGTTTTATTTTGATGAGTGTACTTTAGTTTACATTTACATTTTTAATGACTTAATAAGAATTTCAGTGATTCAAGATGTAAACTCAAACACTTAACAGGTCAAGTTCTTGCTGTGTTGAGGTAAGTTATAGTGCGAACAATTCTTGGAAACAGCTGTTTTTCTTATGGGACTTTTTCTAGCGTCCTAATAGAAAATTTGGGGTTTTTCAAATTATTTCCAAAGGACAGGAATTGTTCTGATACATTCCATCTTCTTTCCTGTTCCAGTAATAATTGCTTGCTGCTTCCATATGGTTGAGAGTATAATCTTTAATTGCTTTTCTCGATGTTATTTGACTGTCCTAAAAACTAACATAGAAATCAAATCCTATTGGAAAAAATCTACTGATAAAAATGTTTTATGCAAAGGCACTTGCCATGCCTTTGGTAATCATGCCTGTACTAGCATTCAGAAGTATATTGATCAAATTCAATTTTGTAATAATTAATTTTGGATTTTGCTTATTTATTGAAAATAAATAAAAAAGATTGATTGCTTTGTCAAATATTCTTCCAATCTCTTCTCCATGTGTGTGAAAATCATTTTAGATATCAGTTTATGTTTTAATTATGTAGAATACTGAAGTACTTTTATTGCGATAAAAAAGTCGCCTTAACTTTCAGTTACTTATATTTTTTGTATATCTATATCCAAAGGTTTTTTGAGATTTTTGAGAAGTATGGTGGCTATAAGGATGGACATGTAAAGTTAAAAAAGCCTAAACAATTACAAGTAAGGAAATTTTGTATAATGAATATTTCTCTATATTATTATTTTAAAATATCTGTGTTCTTTTCTTTCATAAAGTTACAATATAAATTAAATTTTTTTTTAGGAAATTTTAGATATATCCAGATTTTTACTGAATGAAATTGAATTAAAGCCTGAACTTGAAATAGAAGAAAATAAAGCAAAATTAGAGCAGCTCAAAGCAGTTCTGGAAATGTAATTAAATTTTCTTTTATGCGTGCTTTAATATTTTATGGTATTTATTTATTTTTTCTCTTCCTCTTCTAAACTGTATGAAGTTCCTATTCCTGAAAAGCATGAAAATACTTACCATAATTTTTGTTTATGGAAATAGATTTGTGTGCATTTGCTCTATAGCGTAGTGAAAGTATAAAAATAGACAAACATAAATTGCTTGATGATGCTAAAGTAGCAATTTCCATAAAGATACACACACTTATGTATGTGTACACTAAAGTCCACAGTGTCTACCAAGTCGTTATTTGCCACCAAATACATATACTTAACAAAAATGTTTTGAATCGAGCAAATATTAATGTTTTGACATTTTTAACTTTTTAAGTTAGTTTTGTAAAAATTATGAAATCTGATATTTTGTATATTTTTCTGGTCCCTTTATTTACATTTAGGAAAATGTTATACTAATTATTAAAAAATATCTGACTCATATGACAAAAATTGACCAAGGTATTTATTCTGAAAATTTGCTATTTTGACATCATTTCCAATTTCCTCCGAGGAGAAGGTAGTGCTCGGTTGGTAAATAAATTAGAATAATTCTGGGTTGATTTTTTCCCCTTAAATGTCATACAGTGATATTCTTTTATTATTTTGTTACATTTGGTATGCCAAAAGTATTTTCATACAAGTAGTGTATAAGTTTTTAAACACTATAAATATGTTATTAATGTTGTCATGGAGTTTCTATTACTTTTAGTATATGTGTATTGCTAATTCTATTTAGAATTGTTCTAAATAATCATATAAAAAGTCATTAAACTGAAAATATGTTTCAGTTTGAATTAATGCAAATAATGCTAGTATTTTGGCTATATGCCAAAAGTGAAGCCTTCCAGTATTTTCTAGAACATGCATTCTATAAGGTTCTAAGATTAAGGTCTGCATTTTTTTGGGAGGGAGGAGTTATAATCAATACTTTTTACAATAATCTGCATAGACATGCTCATCATTCAATCTATTAACAACAGAAAACTTTTTTTATAAACAGATATTTATTTTTAGCTATCTTTGAATGCAATCATTTTGTTCTTCAATTGCATTTGCTCCTTGAATATGATCTTCAGTTTTAATATTAAATATTTAAGTTAAATTTTGTCATTTAGAAATCACACTTTTTGTGTTTTATTTTGAAATGAATGTAAAATTGTCCTAAGGATCAGAAGAATATATAAAAAGTTCAGTTTTTGTAACTTTAACAATTTTTTTAAATTTAAAAACACCAAAATTTGCATCATTTAAAATATTTTTGTATTTGGAAATACAGTGGAGCACCATTTATACATATTTCAAGGGACCATTAACAACCAATGTTTAAATGAAAAAGCCGTATAAAGGAAATTTTAATTTATGATGTGAAACATATATATTAGCTGCTTACTATTAACCTAATATTGATATTAAACAATGTTATTTTTGTTCTTTCAATTTGTTTAAAATATTAACTATGTTAAAAAAATTTTCAATTAATATTTTAAATAAGTATTTAATTAATATTTTAAACATTTAAACAATTTAAAAACCATTTTTTTACAATTGACATTTCAAAAATGATAATGCAAATATACTATTTTTAAAATCATGAGAATGCAAATTTCTGTATGTAGCTATGTAAAACATCTTTATTTGAAGTACCATCTTGAAGAAGAAGCACTTTTTTCCCCCCAAGAACATTTTAAAGCAAATTTTAACTTCTTTTAAAGAAAACATTTTTAATTGTCACCTGATGTGTCTTTTGATTTTCAATCTTAAGTAAAGCATTAGGAATCAAATTCAGTTCTTGAAAAGTTTTCTTCCTGGTATTTTTACACTCAAAGAAATTTTTGAGGGTGTCAGTGCAGTCAATTGTATTTTGAAAAGAAGGTGGAATTATTTCTTCATCCTCACTACTTAAATCTTCATCTGGTAAAATGTTTTCAATCAGTTCTTCAGCTGTGCATAGCTCTGATGTCATTACATTGGCATCACATTTTATGCATTCCTCGATTGTAATGTCTAATCCTAGTAGTTTCCTAACTTCTTGACCCATAATCACAGTTTTATTATCAGCACTTTCACTTGACTTTGTATTAAAAAATCATTCTTTAATGAAACAATTTTAATTTTGTTCTTCGATTTCTTGAGTCCTTGCAAATGAAATCATATTCATAGCCTCAAGAATATTAAAACTTCTCTGTGTATTTTCTTTTGTTATATTTTGAAAAGATGTTTGTATCAACCTTTGCTGGCAAAACATTTTCAATTACTAGTATGACACCCAAATCTAATGGTTGTATTACACTACTGCAATTTGCCGGAAGAAACCAACTTTCACAGTTTGCAAGAAATTTTTTGTTTGAGGATAGGTGGTTCACTGATTATTAAAAAGTTAAATATTTCAATTTTGTCTATTTTATTGCCAATTCTATTTTATTGCTATTTATTTGTCTATTTGAAGCACTATGGTTTTTGTGACTTTCCTATAGCTAAAAGGGTCACTTTTTCCATTCTATCAGCATTTGCTCAAAATAAAACGGTGATATGTTCTTTACTTTGCTTAGCTCCATTACACTGGTCACTTTTAAAAGCTAGTTCTTACAGGCATAAGTTTAAAGAATAGAGCAATTTTGTTAGCATTAAAAATGTCTTTTATTTCATATCCATTTAATTTGGTGGATAAATTCTTGAACTCTTTAAATGGTTCATCAGGAATGCTTTTTGATTCTCTGTTTATTATATGACATTGAGCCACAGTCATCGCCATATTAGAAAATTCTTACAATCCTTCAGAAGCTAAAATTGTGTCTGATTGGTTGATCTTTGCATGAAACACAGCTGCAAGTGAAGCATTCTTCTAGGAGCCTACTCATTTAAACCAATGCTATGAGAAACATGTTTCTCAGAAAAGTCCCATCTAGTGTCACACATCCCTAAATGGGGTAAACCCCCTTACAGAGCCTCTGTCATAAATCTGCAGCTTAATGTGGCCATTTCTAGTAATTCTGTCAAACAAACAAATTACCACCATGAAAAGTGCATTTCAAATGCATGCTAAGGACAGGGTCTAGTTGAAAGTATGTCGTATCTGCCAGATATCTTAGTTTTCTGGCCCTCAGGGGCTTACTTTTCATGAGTACGGATGTGGCAATCCTGAAGTACGCTACGCTAGCCCTTCAAAGGACCACCTCTTGGTGAGATAGGGGTCACGATCCTGGAGCCATAGTGCTCTTTTCTGCTTTCTTTTTCTTCTCTTCTTATCTGTACTATTTCCATTTCTTCCACCAGTGTGGTTTTCCTTCTTGGAGCTCAAAATGAGATTAGTCACACAAACAGCAATATGCCTACAAAATAAGCAGCCAAATCAAAATCTACAGCAAAACATAGCACAAAAAAGAAAATGAGCAATAATAAAAATATCCTATAAATAAGAAACAAAAAGTAATCAAATAGAAAAAAAAAAAAAAAAAAAAAAAAGAAATTTCAAAGCCTTCTCCAGAACTCCAAGTTTGAGTTCCTTTGGGAGCATAAGCTTAGAAAATCTAAATTCTGATATGGATGTAGAGGATAGAATTAACATCCCGAGACATCTGTTTGCTATTAAAACAAAAAAAGCAAACATGAACTCGTAATGGCCGGCCTTATGCTATGGGATTGTCACAGCTTCCGTCAAAATCCTGTTAATATCAAACATTTGATCAATGTATATCATCCAGTGTGCTTGGCAATTCAGAAAATTATGCTAAAATCGGCAGAAGAAGCAAAGCTTAAGAGATGCTCTTTCATTAGGAGAGGTAGCCTATAATGTGAGCATGTCAGTGGAGATGTAAGATTCCTCACCTCACTTGATTGTCCTTCGAGTTTAATTTCTGTAACCACAAACCTTCCAAGCTGTTGCCATTCAAATAAATATGTGGAGTTTAGTTTCAGTTTGTTCCCTTTATTTTCATCTAAATCACCACATCGATCAACAAGATTTAGATGACCTAATAGAGCAGCTATATGAACCCTTTATCATAACAGGGAACTTTTAACTGCCATAGTCCACTATGGGGAAGTAAGGATACAAAACCCCAAGGCAGACAGATTGAGCAAACGTTTGAAGATCATGCTCTTTGTCTCCTCTATAATGGACAAGATACCTACTTCTATGAGCCTACAAGGACATTTCACGCTCTTGATCTTGCCGCTTGTTCACCATTTCTTTTACCATTTTGTACATTTAGTGTTGGAAATGTTCCTTACAACAGTGGTTTTTCCCGTTTTTGTCCATGTCACACGAGAAGGTGTAAATCCCATGTCAAGATCTCCCTGTTTTATACCTAGTAGGGCAGACTGAAAGCTCTTCTTGTCATTTACAGAGATGACAAAAGAGATGGTAAAAGATGTGCCTATGGATAATATTGTGAAAACTGTCATTGATGCCATTATTCGTGTAGCTACAGTCTCTATTTTGGGGACATCAATGAAATTTCTAAAGTATTGTAAACCATGGTGGAATCATGAATGCAAAAAAGCGCTGGCAAAACAGAGAAAAGCTTGGGGAATTTGTCATAAGTACCCCACCTTGTCAAACCTTGTGGTCTTTAGAAAAGGCTAAAGCAAAAGCAAGGAGACTGAGATGTCAGAGCTGTACAGTGAGCATGTTTAAAATTGTCGAGGAACTCTCTTGGAATAAGTTGAAATTCACCTTAAAACAACTGTTATTTTTTTTATTTATTTTTTTTTTTTTGTAATGCTACAATTCCTTTTCAGTTGCATATATTAAAACGTTATTAGCTTTAACCCATAGCAAATTAATTAGTTATCTCTGCTTGTAAGCTTTTTGGAACTTCTTTTGTAGCAAATTCTTTTTCCATTGAAATGAGAAACAAATGCAATGCCTCTGGCTTCGCAAGAACAGAAAATGTAAGCATTTTAATACTTTTTTTATCAAATTTTCAACACTAATCTGTGTCTTCTATCACCAGACAGTGATTGTGTTTTAAAATTTTTTAGTTCAATCTGCTTTTCAATTTGGACTAACTTAAAGGCATTTTGTCTCTAGCAAATATCCTTCATTATTTTAGTCATTTGATTCTCCGGAATCAATTTTATGATGCGGCAAACAAGTTCAACATTCATTTTGAAGACATCCGAATTGTAATAATTTTTCTGTCAGCTTTGTTAGCATTTTTTGGCACATTGTGTCCATTTTGTGTTTTAGTGATTAATTTTAAATGACTTTTGAATTATTTAAGTAACACTATTTGGGGGGAAGTGTTTTCACAGTACCTTCTTTTGAAGTTCACAAATTTCCTTCTTTTGAGCTCCTTAGGTTATGGGGATGATGTATTATCATAAACAGAAGCCTACTAGATCCAAGTATTTGGTTTATTTCAATCAGGTCTATATCTGTCCAGGTCTGCTTGCCAATGTACGACCAGTAAACAGCTTGTTTGTAAAAAAAAAAAAAAAAAAAAAAAAATACTGTTATCTACTTTTAGATAATATCAATAAATAGATGATTAATTCAAAAACTATTACGTCTTTAGGATTTTCTCATACGATTTTATCTTTGTACTGTTTCCAAGAATTTCAGGATGAATTTATATGGCCAGCTAATTTTAATTCTTTTGTGTCTCGATTTCCCCCCCCACACACAGATATATGTAAAATATGAAACAAAATAATTAAACTTAACTTTAATCAATTGGCAATAGATATTCAAATTCATAAATTTATGTAAACACATCTCCATTTCAAAGGATTGCTTTGCTGTGTCACTCTGCCATATGCATTTTCACGCTTTTCCTGCAATTCCTCTTCACTATGACATCCACAGCCTAATTACTGCTCAGAATCAACACATTGACCACTCTAAATAGATCCGAAGTAATTATGCATTGCTTTTTTCGCTTGCTGCTGCCTGAAAAATCTACGACTCGTGCTTTGCCACCATCTTCATTGTCTAAAAAGTAAACTGCATGTATTGAAATTGTGGGGCATGTTTAGCATCCCTAATGTCTCAGTTTTAACCAGATGTATATTTCTGAAATAATTGTTCCTGTAAAAAAATTAATTTATTCAGCAAACCAGTTGTGATTTTTTTCACCAATCCTAAGGAACAGTCTTCTTGGCCATGAATTAAGTGTGATTTAAATTTCATCTTTCCCTGAATGCCCACATTATCACATATAGGGTGTTTCATGGATCATGGAACAAACTTGGAAGGATTAGGAATGTAGGGTCTAAAGTGACGGGTTAAGGCAGGAACGGGGGGGGGGGAAAACGACACAAGAGGAAAATGTGTTTATGTACAAAATCACCGTAAAGTGCTTCTTTGCAGCAATACAGTATTCACAATAAATGTTCAAAAAAGGGAACACTAACAGTAATAGGAACTACAGCTGTGATTAGCTGGCAATGAAGCAGTAGAAGGCGGTAGTGAGCCGAACAAACCACGATACGATTCATCAGAGGATCATTCGCAACTCTGATGTCGAGCGTGATGGGTGAATTTACGCACAGGGAAAAAGCTGACATGCATCTCATGTATGGTGCTGCTAATGGGAATGGCAGAGCAGCGCTGCCCAGGAACGGTTTCCGAACAGGCGTATGCTGAAGCACACAATGTTCGAAAGGTTGCATCGGTCTCTATGTGAAAACAGCTCATTTGAAGCCAAGTCTGACATTAGAAGTGGAAGAAAAAGTGCACGACAACCTCGCATTGAAGAATCCATCTTGAACATTGTACATGACTCACCTCAGAAAAGTACAAGAGCTATTGCACTTCGTCTGCAGCCGAGTCATTCAACCATTTGGAGAGTATTGCATGAAAATGCTTTGCGCTCATGCCATTTGCAGAGAGAACAAGCCTTGCAAGAGACAGATTACCCTCTTCGAGTTCATTTCTGTCATTGGTTCTTGCAGCAGTGTGCTGCGCAGGTGGATTTTCCATAGGATGTGCTATTCACGGACGAGGCAACCTTCTCACAGGACGTCATCTTCAATAGCAACAACATTTCACATGTGGGCAACTCATAGTCCACACGGCACATGTCCACATGCATTCCAAACACGCTTCCTCGTGAAATGTGTGGGCGAGAATTGTTAACGACTACCTCATAGGCCCATACCTCATACCTGCACGTACAAATGGCTTATGTTATCATATTTTTCTGCAAGAGGTGCTACCGGAATTGCTGCAGGATGTTCCGGCTGTCGTTCGTTATCGCATGTGGTTCCAGCATGATGGTGCACCAGCCCATAACCACGTTCGTGAGTCCGCAAATTACTTGGATGGGAAACATTTCCGTGGACGATGGATTGGCCGTGGTGGACCGTTTGATTGCCATCCCGTTCGCCAGATTTATCCAGCTTGGAGTTTTTTTTATGGGGTCATCTGAAGAGCATCATTTACGAGACTCCCGTTGACTCAACTGGGAGGACCTCGTTGCATGGCTATCCATTGCGGCTGCAAGCGTGCGCGAAAAGTGCCTGTCATTTTTCAAAATGTTCATCAATCCCTTCTGCGATGTTACCAAGCGTGTATTACTGCTGATGGTTGTACATTTTGAACATTTATTGTGAATACTGTATTGCTACAAAGACGCACTTTGCTTTGATTGTGTACATAAACACATTTTCCTCTCTTTTTTTTTTTCCGTTCCTGCCTATTTTAGACCCTACATTCCTATACAAAAATGCATGTTTTAGTGCGCTCCACCACCCCTCCAAGTGTGTCCCATGATCTATGAAATACCTGTTATATATATATGTGGGTGTGTGTGTACATTATATATATGTGTGTGTGAATACATATATATGTATATATATGTGTGTCATTACAACAGCCACATAACATACAGTACAAAGTCCAAATCCGGCTCGTCGGCGATTCCGGATTGAGGTTTTCGGGCTTTATCATCAATTTAAATCTGGTAAGATGGCATGCAGAAATTATACAATTAAAAATATGAAACCGTTAATTTATGAAATAAAGAGCGTTATGATCTAAAGGGTCTCAAAAAATTTACCAAAAAAAAAAAAAAGCTTATATTATTTGTTTATTTTATTAAACATTTCTTTCAATGTAAGTTAAGTTGCTGTGTTTTTTTAGCGCTAATACTTTCTCTTTAATTCTATAAACAAACATAATTTCTTGTTCAGTTACAAAATTCCATTGTTCAAGTCCTGTGATTGCTGTGTCTAGAATACTGACTAACTCGTCAATCGAAATTTTTTCGTTTTCAATAATCTTTCTGTCACTTTCTTCACTATCAGAAGTGCGCATGGGTAAACGCTTTACATGCATGCGTAGCAGACTCGCACATTAAAAGCGCATGCGTAAGTTTGTGGCTTTGAGGTCCGGATTATTGATCATTCCGGGTAATAGACGTGCGGATTACGGACTTTGTACTGTATATATATATGAGTACGACATATGTACACACACGCACACACATACTATATATATATGTATTGAGTATGAATAGATGTAGGGGAAATACCTGAACATTTGAGAACTATTAAGAGTGTTGTTAAGTGAAGGTTTGGTACAAAAAAGTGGTTTTTGAGTCTCAAATGATTCAGAGGAATGAAACATGTATTCGGAACTCATTAGTAATTTGGTTTAAGGCTTCAAAACACGTTTTCCTTGACAAGTTCTGTTTGAAGAGTTAAACAGAGGAAATTAATAAGAAAGTTGTTTTGTTATGTATAATGTTCTGTAATTTTTTTTAAAAGTTTCTCTTTTCTCATATTAATTTTCAGTTAAAGATTACATTTTTGAAAGTTTCAATAATTTAATTTTTTACCAGGCGAAGAAAGGTTAGATCTTCATATGAAGGAACAAAATTTTATTCAATTTCATTCTGACATTTACTTTTTGATATATATATATATCAAAAACTCACAGTGTGTGTGCATAGTTGTTTTCCGAGTTGTTTTTCTGATCAGTTAGGTATTATTTTGCCCTATACGTTTTCTTTGTGTATGAAGACTCTGGCTCTCAAAAGTAGTTACTTATTTCTTTAAAAATCTGAAAATGTGCTGTTTAATACTGTTATTTGTTGTGGTTAATTATGCACTTTATCCTTTTTTTGCTTAGTTTCGTCCTAAACTGACCTGTGATTTATGCTGCAGTGCTGAATGAAAGGACAGACTGCTAAAATTGAAATTAAAATTTAAAATTCTAGGAATAAATTAATAACATGTTGTGTTTTATTTTGTTTAGAAATTAAAGGCTGGAAATTTTTTTTTATTTCGTGCTGAAATTAAAATTGGTTCTCTTCACAATTTCTATTGAAACAAGTTTCTCTCTTTTCTATAATTTTGAAATGTATTAAGAAACTGTAGACAAAAATGAATATGTAATATATATGGTGCCTTATTTATATTTCACTGTATTGTGTAGAAAGTATATTTAAAAGTGAAAAGATTAATATGGTTGTGTAAAAATAAGGCTGCTCTTCCCCCCCACCCAATGGTCTTTAAATTCTGTTCTTCAGAATCCCAAGGTTCTGCATTACTTCTCTAGGTGTTCTGCAGATCAGAATTTAAAAGAATTATTTGATTGATTAATTTTTTATAACTAATCAAGAATAATGACTGTGCATAATTAAGGTGGAAGAGTTAAAGAACATCCTAAAGTCTTAAAATAATTTATTGTAAACACTTGTTTAAAAAAATGTAAAAACTTATTTTTAATATGGTTTTTATCCTTATTTTACATTTTTCTATAAAACTTTAACATATTTATAATTTTGTTCCTCTCTAAATCTCAGGTATGGGCATTTCTCTGGAATAAACAGGAAAGTTCAGTTAAAGTATCAACCTCATGGCAGACCTAGGCGTTCAAGTAGTGAAGAAGGTAAAAATCCCCTTTCCCTCCAAAAAAAACTGCAAATCATTAAAACTATTTTCAATATAATTTCCAGCTGTTACTTGATTGATATATATTTTTGGAGAAAAAGTTGTGTGTTTATCAATGTCTGTATCTCTGTAAGAGAAAAAAATTAAACAAGTTAATGAGTTTTCCTCATATATTCTATGCTAAAAAACGTTAATACTACCCATAATATAATGGTAATATTTCTATTAGTATGAGATTTGTTTGTATATACAGGTAAATGTGTTTTTAGATACTCCTCGAGAACCTTCCCTGGTCCTTATCTTGAAATGGGGTGGAGAGCTTACACCTGCTGGAAGAGTCCAAGCTGAAGAATTAGGACGTGTCTTTCGATGTATGTACCCAGGTGGACAAGGTATGCTGTACTTGCTTGGCCGCAGGCAATAATGTTATTTTTCCTTCTTTCTTACCTTTAGATATAACTTTGTGCCATTCAAGCAGCAAACCCATATAAGTAATATTGCAGTATGCTTTGTAGTACTCTCTTAGAATAATAATTTTATAAATATTGTCACAGTCTCCTAGTATTTAATAGTTCTAGAATGCTTCTCTGGCTCTTTGAATGTTTGGCTTGTAACACTACAGTAAAATACTTGAGCTACATTGTTTTGTTATACACAGATTAACATTGTATTTTTAATGGAAAAAAACTGTATATATGTATCTTGAATAATAATGTGTGTTACTCCAAAGAGAAGTCCTCTTGCATTAATGCAAGCAGTGGCATCATCGGGTAATAAAAAGACAGTCTGGTGTGGAGATCTGTTTTAATATCGGTTTAAGAATTGAGATCCATTTTTTTGGTTATCTTCAGTATCAGAAAAAATGCATTTCTTTGAGAAGCAATTTTAGTTTTGATAAGAGGAAGTTGCAAAAAGAGAATTTCAAAAATAGATTGAGTTTTATTTTGTTTTTAGGTCAGAAATTGCTTTAAGCATATTTACTGTTGCGAAATAACATTGTTGTGCCATATGATTATTTGAAACAATAGTTTTTGACTAAATTGTGTAAAATGCAGTATTAAAAGTTGGCTTTATTCTCATTGGTAAAAGTCATCTACTTGACGTGGTGATAGACTTTTCGAGGTTTCACTTTCATTTGGAGAATTCTGAAAAATCAGGGGAATTTAAAATGATTAGGAAAAATGTGAGAAATTATGAATTTTTCTCAAAAGGCTCAGTGAAGTTTTCTTTTAAAAAAGTGCAGATCAATCTTTTTAAATAACAGAAGTTCATATTTTAGATAGTGCACAGTTTAAAGAAAGTAAATCTTTGTTTTGTTTCAGAAAATGTTTTACCTGCTTCCTATTTGCTATAATTTTATCAACTCTTAGCTCTCTTTCCAATCTGTTAGTGAGCTGTTTATTACAGAGTATTTATTATGAATGGTACACTGTGTATACAAAATTTCTTTTTGAGATTGAACAGTTTGCTCAGAATTTGGTATTCCTTTTTTAAATCCCAGCCTATTTTTTTAATGACTTAGATGTATATTTCTTGTATATATTCCTGTAATTTACTTCAGAATGATAAAGAAATGTTATGATGTTCTTAATTATTGCATTGTATTTTGTAGTAAACTTTTAATATTTTTCATTCAATTATATTTATTTAACTTGATAACTAGTTTATTGTGTTTGGAAAATTGTTCCATTTGATTCTTGAAAATCAGGAAAATTAATTCTTGAAAGTTCAGGAAAATTAAATGTTGAATTTCTATTGGAATTCTGCTTTTCAAAATAGAAAGTAATTTTGACCTATCATTTTTACAAAAATTTGATTGTTCTGAAATGCTATATTCGTACATAAATATTACTTAAAAAAACTTTGTGTGTGGATGTTTAGCTGTAAAGCTAATTGAAGAATTTCTGATTCCAGTTCATATAGAATATGTTTGAGAACTGTGACACTTTGTATTATAAATTATGCAACTTGAGTCATTGCTGCATTCTTTTTCAGTTAGAAATCTATGGGACTATTAAGCAAAACAAATAAATATTGACATTTATTATGAAACTGTTAGGGTTGACATCGATAGAGCTATCAAGAGCTAAGACGGTGATCTTTGGCTAATTGATAGCCATCCATATGATTCTCAATTTTTTCAAAAGTAAGCCATCTGGGGCTTGGATCCAGCCATGCCTGTACCCCTTATCCTTTACTAGGCTAAGCCATATATATATATACAGTGTTTAAATGCTAAATGCTCTTCATCAATTTAAAATACAACATAAACTAGATCTTCAGTTATTTTCTGAAGACTATGAAAGTATGAGCAAATTTTAAAAGTAATACTGTGAAGAATCATTCTTATAATGTTTTTGGTTTGTAATGAAAAAACATGCAAGCTGCTTCATATTAATTATAATTTTGTTTGAAGCAAACTCATGTGTTCATTTGTTCTCATAAAAAAAATTTCTGATGAATCAGTATTCGTATATTTTTCATTTTTCATTGCTTATCTATTATATGTTTTAGGAAATTTCTTCTAGAGGAATTCATCTTTCTTCTAGAGCAATTCATCTTTCTTCTCTTCTCTTGCAGTGCTTTATAAAAAGATCAAATTTTTTTAATGGAAATGTATAATATTTGAAATTGCATATCACATTACAAAGAGCAACACTAAATTTGGCTATAAATGAACTGAATTTTGAAGTTATATGTTGCCCAATTCGTATTTGCATGGTATATTTTGATTTATTGTAGCAAAGAGTAGGAAGATTTACATTATTATCATCTTCCTAGTTGAAAGGAGTATAGTAATGTAAATTATATCATTTTAAAAAAATTATCAGATCATAAAAATTTATTTCAGCAAAAAGCAGGAAGATCTACATTATTTTTTACATTTTGATCTACATTATTTTTTTAATTAAAGGAATATAATAATGTCAATTATATAATAAAAAATGTCAGAAATAATACTAAGACTGTAAATTACTCAGTATAAGTAAAAATAAATAATAATAATAGCAAAACTTGCTTTTTAAAATGTTTTCTTATATGATCTTTAAAACTTTAGAAAAAAGGAAAGCAAATATAAAAAACTTAATATTATAGAAAAGAAAAGGTATAGAAAAATTCTCAAAGTTATTATTAAAAAACAACATTATACATGAGGAATAGTATTAAGGAATTAACGTTAAAATTTGTTAGACATGGAATAATGTGATGGATGGCTCTGCTTATTGGGCAGTATCTTAAAATCTCACAAAAGTACTTTTTCTTGACTGAAGGGGTAAAAGCTGCTTTGAAGCTGCTTGAAGATATATAATCAAGAGTGCTAAAAAATGCTATGTCTTAGAATAGTGGAAGGAAAATAATTAGCCTGGTGATTTGTAAATATCCTGAAAATTACACATCCACTGAAAATTCAAAAGGGGATTCATTTAAGCTTCTTATATATGATTATTCAAATTTTTCATTTTTATAGTAAATATTTGTTATTTTTATGCATTTTTTGTAAATTTACATATGAATTACGGCACAAAACTATAACAGTTGAATGTTTTTCTCATTGTATCTTTCATATATATTGCATGTGTTACTTCTGCAGTTATATTAATTTAAAAATAAAATATTTAAAGCTAATTTCGTACAGAGATATGCAGGATTATATTATGTAGAAGTTTAAATCAATGTCTTTCAGATCCTACTAGTCATCTGAATTAATATGACAAAGTTCTGAGAAGGTTAAAATAATGTTTTTTATTAAAAGTTTAAATTAAACAGAAAATACCCACTTATACATACAAATAACCTCTGTCATTTGTAGCTATTTAAAATAGCTGAAATTCATATGAGTTAATGTAATCAGAGATTGGACAAAAGGATCTACATAAGCTGGCTCAAACATTTTAACATCAGCTAGCGAAAATGGCTGAAGCCAGAACAATTGCTGGCAGATAGGATCAAATTTGCAGGGGATGCTGCCAAAAGCTCTTAAATCTTAAAACACTCAAAACGCTCAACTTAAATACCGTATTGACTAATTTACATTCTGATGAGGACTACGGAAAGAAGTTAAGGTTTTTAGATCATAATAATTAAGTAACATAAACACCTTATAAATAGTATATTTGGTAATATACATAGTATATTTGGGTTTGTCTGTGATCTTCTAATTAGCATGTAGACTGTGGCTAACTTAATTGCTATAATTTTAGTTTGAAATTGAATATTTTATCAGTGTACTTCCCATTGCATGTTATCTTTTCTGTATTTTTAACATATCTCCTATTTTCTCTTGCATTTACTTTCAACTTTCCAAATTATAGATTGTTTGCTTACCTTGGACTCTTAGTAATAGAAAAGAGAAGGAAATATAACTTATGTGATTTAAATTAAAAGGATTATTCAAATTTGAAAGCATTATCTGTGATTTATATATGATTTTATTTATTCTGGATTTTATAACTACTGTCTGGCTCATAATATGTCTGTTAATTCTTTTGAGAATTAATAATTTATATAAGTCTTTGATTTCAATTTGGTTTATGCATGCTTGCTAAGCTTTATGTATTTCTCTAGTTTGTCTATTTAGTTTGTCTGAGTGCCAAGCAAATATAGACTGTCTTTAAAATTCATTGTTTTCTAATCATAGTATGATTTTTTATGCATTACAAGATTGTATTTAGTCATAAAAAATATCTTTGTATGAATAATTTTTATGACTTACCGTAATTTTTAGTTGTATATGTGTGATTGTTGTTTTTTAATTAATTTATAAATAAGCATGTTATTTATTTTTCATGTTTTAGCAATTTTTCCTGTGTAACATGTGTTATCAGTCTGTTTGATATTAAATATAATTTTTAAAACATATTGCAAATTATATGAAAATTCTGAATTAATTTTTTTTAAAAAATTTAGGATGGTTCTGGGTAAATCTGATTCAAAATATTACTTGTTTGTAAAATTTTATCATTTTTCATGTTTTGGCAATTAGATTAGCGTAAAAGAAATGGGAAAATTAAAGCAGGAAGTATAATATCGCGTACATAAATGTGCCTGTTATGAAACTGAAGGGAGTATGTACTGATGTAAATAATTAAGAAGTATATATTGATGCAAATTGTTAATTTTCATGTTAAATCTTCAATTTTCTGTTTTGAACGTGACATTTAACAGCTAACAAGTATCTAATAAAACCTCTTCATGTATCCAATTTTATCATAAAATATAGACTTTGTATATGATTTTAATTATTTCAAAATATTACTAATATCTGCACATTTAATTCAGAAAACTTCTTGATGCTGCAGAATAAAAGTGTTTCATAAAAGGGTTATCTTGGATAAGGAAGACAAAACACAATCTTTCAAATGATTAGAAGAGTTCATGCATGATATTTGATAGTCATTTATAGTTGATACATGTGTCCGTGTAAGCAGTGCAATATTA